TGATTCAAAAAAAAANTTGGTTTAATGCTAAATTGAAGAGATTTAATGAAGAGGTGTAATGGTAAATTAAAGCCGTTATTCATCCATGCAATCTTGCAAGAATTGAAGTTGAGGGACTCACTGGCAATGCTATTATTCATTGATCTCACTCATTCATAGTAATTATGAGTTTATTTGGATGCATCAGAACCGCATCTATTACGTGAATTGGTTCTTGAAAAAAATTTTAAGGTGGCACAATAATTAGATGGCAAGCAAAGGCGTTTTTAATCGCTACTCGATTGCAATATTCTAATTATAAGATTACAAAAGAATTTGTCAATTGAATTACTCGGTCTTATTTCAATACGGTGAATTCATAGTTTTGAACTGATTCGGGAAATTTGAATGCATCAATCCAATCTTGTTACTCACATTCGAAATTACATGAACACATAATTTACTGAATGAAAGTTGCCAAGAATTGCAGATTTTTTGTGTATACGAACATTTTTTTAAAAACCGGAGTCAGATATGAAGCAACAACTGTTGGTTTTTAAAAAAATTCGAATTAATTTTCAAATGTGGCACATGCATACAGAGGATATCTGAGAAGATAAATCTGATTGAAAAATGAATCGAAATAATATAAGTGCTGTGATACGCAATTAATATAGTGCGATTACAACTTAAAATTTAACATTTTTATGAAATTCTTCGGAGTGCTCATAGAATAGATTGTGTGGATGTGTTGTGTTAAACACCTAATTTTAATTGCATCACTCACATACGAATATTATTTCGTGGATGTGATTCAGTAGTTTGAAACAGATAGGTGCCTAATGTTGTGCTGTGGTGTGTACGGCTCAAAATGAGGGGGAGCATCCATCGTCTCGGCTATTCTTAGCTTAAGCCTGAGGCGAATAACACACCACTATCTATTGCGATCATCTCATTTAACACTCACCATCAATGCCCTGCCTACCCATTACTTCTCTCCACAACATACTTAGTCCAGGAATGCCTGCCTGCAGGTGTAAAGTGAATATAGTTATTTACCGGTGCTTGGCTGAGTGTTGCTCATTCATCGCGCTTAAAACTCGACCATCAAATGCAGTCGCATCTCGTCTATGTTATTTACCTCAATTCCGTCAAAATACTTTATCATTTCATTTGCATTCATAGACATTCCGCAATTCCATCTTATCATTACTACTTATATTATTCTATTGTTGTTACTCCCATCATTGTTACTGCTGATACCAACCAGTATCTTTACCATCATTCTTATCATCATTTCCACCAATACAGTCACCAGTCTCCCTTCTGTCACTGGTAATAATTATCACTAGCGTTATCGCCAGCAATGGTTTGATCTAGATCGTGTGACAATTGCTGCTGTTTTATAATCTGCTAATTTTTCCCTCTGAAACTATCATGCAGGGTGCATACATAGTTTTTTATTCGAACAATGCCTCTCTGATAACATTTTGTAAACTTTTGCATATCGAATGCAACAGTCCTTTAACTATAAGTTTCATATTGAACGCTTGAAATGCAAAATAAGTTGTGAAATGGTGATGAACAACTTAATAGTGCATGTAAACGCTTCGTTTCTGATATGAAACCCTTAACCGAATTGAATAAACGAGTTGAAATTAAGTGTAACCGAATGGTTAGAGTCTTTTGTGTATGAACAATGAGAAAGAAAACTTTCTGCAGTCAACGAAAGTTGAATGTATTCATCGCAATTGAAGGTATTCTAAGTGCACAACTGACGCTGCTTACTCGAGTATAGCCGACCGAACAGTGTGAGCTGCTTGAAAGATTAATTTGAAAGCCATGAATTGCTATCATTTGAGAAATTTGCAGTTTCTTTCGGATCAACAAAATTGGTTATGGTAGTGATGCGGTTAAGATCATAGCATTGCAATAAGACGAATATGATTTTAAAATTTTTAATAAGATGCGATGTATATTAAGTAAGTGCCATGTGAATACGATCTGAGGAGTTCAAAGTTGTCTCAGAGCAGTACACCTTGTGATCATCATTCAGAAACACAACAGAATTATTGCGTTGATATTTTATGATACGAGTTTGAATCAGATAGTGTTCTTTTGAAATGCCGCATTTGTGAACCTGATAGTAAACATGTGCAGCACATTGAGTGGGCAAAAAACTTCAGAAATTCTTCAGATACTGACATTCGAGTTAATGAAAAGGAATGACTAATTTATGAACAATGATAGACCTGAGCAGTTGTGAAGTTTTAAAAAATTTTCTGAAATAGGATGGTTTTACGATGGAATTGTTAGTAGGTAGCAACCTAAACTTGTATTAAACATTTGTAATTGGATGTGAGAAGATGAAAGATGATGAATAAGCGCAAAAATTGTGGTATCAGAGTTGAACAAGAGTAAAAGCATCAATTCATCCGCTACCTAACTCTTATGATCTTGCATTTTATTTCAACTCCATGAAATTAATCTCTTTCTGTCAGCTACCCGTCGTTCTTCATACCTACTTGTCTGTATGCTTGTTTGAAAAGTCAGACAGTTCTCGTAACTTGATGTCAATATTTTATTGAGTATGTAAACGTCCCTTGAACTAGTAACACCATCTTTACGAATGCCGCTTTCCTCAGCTGGAACTGAGACTCCAAATTGTCTCTTAATGCAAATTATTTATAGTGGCAACAATGAACAACTTTTCATTGCTAATTTTATTATTATTATTATTTTTCTATTATTATTAGCATTGTTATTCTTACCCATAATTGATTATTTCCGCATCGCAGATATCTTTTTGTCTCACCAAAAATTGAATTCCTTCAATCGTTACTCGGTGTTTAATACAGCTGTACTGGAATGGAATTTCGATGATTAGATAGCAACAAGTGCAACAGTCCGTCCGGGCCGGATCAAAATCATTTTGTTATTACAAAGCGTGTGAACTGTCTCATTTATCAAATATTATAAATTATGTTTCGATGCGTTATCATTTGCTTCATATGAAGAAAGCCATGATGAATTTTCTAATTTTTCAGTGAAGATGCCCGCTACCACCGCACCCGAACAGAACGGCGTTGATGCCCAAGGTGTGTTTTTATCTATCAAGTTTGCTTTGAGAATTTTTCATTATCAATAATCTATTAATTCATCTTCGATAATGACAAACTGTTGCTAGACTGCGAAACTCTTAAGGATATTTCAATGTGACGAGCATTGGTCCAAGCCCTGTAGCTTTTATTTTTTGGGGAAAGGCTTCTATTTGAAGAAGACGCTTCTTCATTCGAATGAATAAGGGACTTGACGTCTTCACAGGATTATGGCTGCAAGATTTTATGCGCATCCTCTGTGAAGTAACTAATTAGTGTTTTTTAATGATGATATTTCAAGGAGACTTTTAGTCGAAGAGGAGGGTTATATTTTTCACAGCTCTGAGAGAAAGGGCTTCTATGGATAGGGGAAAGGAGCGACTTATTTTAAGAATAACACGGTGTATTTCATAGAAGGGGTTATCAAATCAATTCAATCTTTCTTCACATAATTCTTGCTAAGACTTTCAACATCTAATCGGTTTGGACTCACTGAATCTAGATTTGCACTCTACTTTCATCCCAGTTGTCACACACTGACCGTCAATATTTTTTGTGTCGAACTGACATGCTTACATGCTGAACACAAGCAGCACCGATCCACCTAAACAGACCAATGGTTGGTGTATACACGTCTAGACAGACGTTAACTAGAGCATATCGAGCATCTTTCTTGATCTAACTTCAAAACACTTCAGTGTAAAAACCCACAAAGTACGTCATTCTTTTCCAGTCGATTATTGTTATAAGAGTAAGAGCTTATGATGAAATGTCGTCGTCAACCTAAAGCAAGCAAGTGCTGTTCACAGAATAACAAGCCGTCAAATAATAAAATGATAGAATACGAACAAGTATATAGTAAGATCATAAAAAACGATGTGAACGTGTGTATACAATTACGACAATTGAATGCCTCTCTAAACTAGTTTTTACTGTGTGCGATTTTCCTCTCGAAATAGGCTATCAGCCCTTCGTTCGTTATCTCTGCGATATATACATTTCAGTTTCGACTAATCCTCTTTGCACTCTCTTCTCATTGTCAACAAATGGAAACAGATCAATGAAGCAAAAGAAACGTTCACATTCTTGTATGTTTAGAAAGACTGATAACGATACACGAACTTCAGATGATTTCCTCATAGAGCTCTTATGAACAAACGCAGATATATCACTCATTTTTGCATGATATTTGATAATGACACTTTAACAGCGTTGAACCGAAATACTCCGGAAGAAATTATTTTGATGAGCTTTCATTTTCGAAGTACATCCAAATCATACATTGTAGCGTTAAATGTTGCTCATTATTGAACAGCTGACTGTTTCTGGTAAATAATTTAATTGCATGCTGTTGCAAGTACTCGATCTATTCAAATAGGCATTCACTGATTCCATAAAATTATTGTCGGTGCCCACAAGAAAGATATCCGGAATTTGTGTGCACTGAGGAATGCAAAATAAGCTAACATAACATGCTACTCAAGTTTGTTTGCTTAAACGGCCGATTGCTAGAGGATGTAAGGTATATGTTATATAAATATGAGAAGGTATGCTATGTATACATGCAAGTGTGTATGTATGTGCGCGCCTACACCTATGTATATGTGTTAAAAATAACCGTCAGAGATCGTTCTCAAAACAACGGGTTATTCTCGAGTTAGTACATCATTGTGTCAATTTCTTAGTCAGCATGTCACACTTAATGCCCTAATAATATATTATCTGCATCATCTGGATAAGCACATTCAAACAGTCGTCTACTCGTTTGAATGATACTGATTTCAGTTCTTTTCATTGCATGAGTCTTATTGTACTGATATTTTATCGTCGATATTGGTATTATCGAATTGCAGCTATCTGTATTGAATTCCACAAATGAAACCTCTTAAAAACCTCAACTGATCAGATAAGGTATCAACTTCGATGTCGTCACTAGTTGAGGATCATTATGAGCGAAGTGAAACCCTGGAACGATATAAGAAATATTACCGATATTCATCCAAAATACTGAATGAATTTTCACCAGTACAGCAACAAAATCAGCACAGTGTTCAGCTACCTATGTCTGATATTATTGCAAGCGATTCATATATAACACCAACGCATCATCCTACAAATGATTATTCTCAACTGAATACTCTCAAACGGATGTCAACTGAGCGATGCTACACAACAAGCGATACCAACAATTCATCATTTCAACAACCCGTCCCAGAGCAATCCAATTTCTCATCGAATTTGCTCAACAACAACAGTAATGGCAATAGCGATGAAAAGTTGCAATTAACGATCGCAAAGCCTATTGCTACCTACATTAACAATGCTAAAGAAAGTATCAAATCAGCTTATCAGAATCAAATTGTGCCTGAAGTGTCGTCAAACGTTGCTATCAATACCAAAACGAGTCCTTCGCGCTTCAGTGCTTTCTCGCCGACATCATTTAGCGGGCGAATGCATGACCGTAAATCAGGTTTCGGGATTTCATCTTTCAATAAAGAGTTAGATCGAAACGAGTTGTCGTTTGAAGGTGGATCAAATTCGAAATCCGCGCTGTTAAAACAACGATCAAAAGAAAATGAACCTGTTACAAAACCATCACCATATATAAACAGTTCAGCGATAGTACCAACTCGAATAAATGATTCGGAGAATAAACGAAATTTCAGTTACGGCAGCGATGAACTTAGTTTATCAACAAATTTATTCAAATTTTTAGAACTGATCAATTGAATCGCTTACTTTTTTGCTGTTTTCATCAGAGCCAAAGAAGCAAAAGTCACAACTGTTAGTAAGTGAAAACGATAGCCAATTGATGATCAAGACCAAAGGAATTATCAGTGAAGTACATTGACGATACATAGTGTAGATAAATAAGTAAATGTGTCTTTATCAGGAGTGATTAAATAAAGGTGTATAGGAATGAATTTCTACGTGGTGTGCACGCATATTTAAATGCAGATGCATAATTTCTTTCTGTATTGACGCGTCATAAATATTCGATATAAATGAACGAACGCAAAAACGTTGATATGTAGAGAATATTAAGTGATTGCACATCAACAAGTGGTCATTATAATAATCCTCAATGAGTTTTTGGCAATCGATCATGATTTCAAACAAAATCACAAACAAAATTTATCGGTCATCACGAACAGATAATAATCCTGCACACAATGGTGTATGTGTTTATGCAAATAATAGCACCAGACTGATTTGCATAGTGCTATAATAGAATACATTTGTTAATTGAGATGGATGTGAATTATGTTTCAATATCGATTTCATACACACCTTTCGATTCGAAAAGTGATTCTGTTAAAGGTATGTTGATAATCATCATAATGAGGAGTAGCCAGTTTGCTTCGTCCTTTCTGCCTGATCAGCAACCAACTTAGAAAAACAATCAGTTGTTTAGTTGTGCAATCAAATGAGGTATGCAGCAAACTTTTGTGTCATTAAGGAATACTTTCAATTGCAGACGATGTGCAGCCACATGCAACGATGGAGACGCGTGTCGCGGGTCAGGGCCAACCGAAACGAGTCGGTCGATGGACGCTGGCTCAGCTGCGTCAAACTGACGGTATTCATTTTATATTATAGCCACAGTTTCTGGATGAGATGAAAATGAATGACACATATCATAAGCCATATTGTTACAGGCATCATTCCATCTCAAGCCGGTTGGAACAAAGGTGATTCGCAGAAGCTGATGACCAATTTCGGTACTCCTCGAAATACCAGCACACGTGTGAAAGCAGAAAATTTAGCGGTTGGTTTCAGATGAAACCTTTTCAAGCGTTTGATTTACTTAGAAATATCACTTCAAGGGAAATCTGTCAAGACGTCAACGAACTAGCAAAAACATATTGTTTTAAGGAAATTCCCGAAGATGTTCTTATGCGATCACATGGTGAAGTACGTCTGCAATCAGGAACGAATAAATTCGATTCGCAACGTGGCATGACTGGATTTGGAACCGGTCGTGACGTCTGTAGGGAGGGAATTCATGTTAACCAACTACCCCAGGATGTACAGGTTCGATTGTGATAATAATTCAATTGTTAACAAAATTTTGGTAGTATTCGCAGTTTCATCATTTCAATGGTCTTTTCAAAACTACTCATTTCACCATCATTCATCAAACTTTTTACTACTATCATTTTTCACATTCCATGAGATGTTATCTGCACCAGTTATCAGCTTTGTGCTCAATATGGTCATTTTCAGCCACTTCCTGAAGAAAAAATCCGTCTCAGTGATGGTATTGTTCGCCTGCAAGCTGGTACCAATAAATATGACTCTCAAAAGGTTGAATGAAAATATTTTGAGATTAAGTATTTTATCGAGAATCATATGTGAAATGAAAAATGCTTAAAGGGTATGACCGGTTTTGGAACGTCTCGTCGGGAGACGACAAAGATGTTGGATACAAAACATCCCGATTATGACCACGAGCGCCCTGATCAATCAGAGATCCCACTGCAAGCTGGTACTAACAGATTTGCATCCCAAAAGGTAAACAATCTCTTTGAAATAACAAAACGGGACAGACATCCGTCTGGACTATCATTCATGAAAACAGATTTTAGGATAATAAAGCAATAATATGAGATATCAGAAGTTAATAGGGTGAATGGTATTTAGGGCATGACCGGATTTGGTACTTCACGTCGTGAGACAACCAGGATCGTTGATACAGCTCATCCCGAATATGACTGTGAAAGCAGTATCGATTCAACAACAATTCCTAGCCAAATGGGTAGCAATAAATATGCATCACAGAAAGGCATGACTGGGTTCGGCCAACCACGTTGGGAAGTGAGTTATTATCGAGTTGAATTGTTTGCAAGATCTCTTGGAAATTTTGCAGTTTTTGACGCATTGCTTGATCGGCATGATGATAGAAAAGTCGTTTGTGTTTTTAAAATTGCAGGTTCTCGATCCATCTATTTCGTGGCAGAATCGCAAAAGTCAAGGCATGGTTCGCCTTCAGTCTGGTACGAACAGGTATGGTACATTTTGGTCATTCGACATAAGACACTCGATAAACCATTCTGGTGATGTCTACCGAAAGTTTACTTTTTAGATTCGCTTCACAGCAGGGTATGACTGGTTTTGGTACGGTCCGTAACACAACTTATGAGGCCGAAGCAGGAGAACTACCATACGAAGATATGAAGAAGTCTGAAACGATTATTCCTTCGCAGGCAGGATGGAACAGGGGAGACTCTCAGAGAGTACGAATTCATATTATTACCGTTACTACCATCACTCTTATTATCTACTCAAATTTTTTGAACTGATCTTTTTACCAACTCATCACAAATACCAATTCCAAAGAACTAATATTGAAATTATCGGACCGCGATAAATTTCAGGGAATGACTGGGTTCGGTGCACCTCGTGATGTAAAAGGCAAACATCTCAAGCGCATTTGGGAATTAGAATATCCAGAAGAAGCTGAAGTATCACTCGATCGACTTTAAGATCTGAATCAGAATGATCAGTCCATCAGTGCCAATCGAAAAAGCAACTGAATTGAATCTAACACATCGCACTATGCAACTTGAATGAATAATTATCCCATTTCGATTTTGTATGAAGTCTGAACCTAACGTTGTCTAAGTGAATATGCTTTGATCACCACTTACCAGAAATTATCTTCGTACCCAATGCAGCTTATTATTAAGATTGTTGCGTTTGTTTTATCCATCAAACGATACTTTGGAGAACAAGTGAAGTATGTACGAAACTCAATCTGTTTCCTCTTATTAATCAAGTCGTCGTCAGTATTCATTTCTTTCTACTGCTTGCTGCATCCAACTGTGAATAATTGTTTAATGAAGCAGCTACACTAATTGATTCGTGCATTATATAATATTATCACAAAGTGCTCTTTATTGTTTCTTAAACTGTCGACATTTGCTCTCTTTAACTATGTTTATTCGTTTTTGTTTTCATTTATTGTTGTTTTCTTATTCATCTAGTTGGAGAGTAGTTCCAAATTTTCGATGTGCTGCCAACGAATCGAGTCTTTTCAATTGTTCAGCTCAATCCTGATCAATATAATTGGAATTATGTTTCATTTTTAAAATATCGTTTCATCGCCCAAATTTATTTTCGGTCATGTTCCTTCTAGTTCTCTTTCAGCGCTCATTGTTATGTGCTACTCAATCTGTTGACGATGCATCAAAACAATACTGACATATGGCATTTGTCTCATTCATTATAACTTCCCCTTATGTTTTTTAATAGTTGATCGATAAAGTCGGCGAATTCATTTTTTGCTGTTTATCTCATGAATACCTAACAAACTTAATAATACTATCTGTATTATCAATTAGTCGACAGATTCGTAAAGTAAATTATTCATAATCGTTAGCAAAGTTTAAAAAAATTGCTTGGTTCATCAAAAAAAAAAGAATTGAGGAGCGGAATTAGTTCACTTACAGTGCTTATCTCTCAAGCAAGTGCAACAAATGTCTTTCGAAATCGCCAAGAATTTTTGAAACACCGACGTATTACAATAATCAAATACGGATAGAACATTTAATGTTAAACAAATAATTATTGGCGTTCAGTCAATAGCAGAAGATTCAACTGGAATCGATTAGAACAGTCACTTCCAAAGCAGTGGGAATGCGAAAGTGAGGTTTTTAAAGTGAGTTAAATCAGCTAATCAATTCAATGAAAACAAATCAATTTAAATTCTCATTTTGATGAGATATTTTGATCATTAGATTCTGATCAAGTGATATGTATTTTCGGGCTCTTTTTGAGTCCCTCTCTCTAAAAATCACTGAGCAATGAGAAAAAGTAGCCCAAATCCTCTGTGATCGCCAAATATATCAATAATCGGAGCTAGAATTTCATAAACACTGCTCATTCCCAACGCTGTTATTGTTAGCTGCGCAGAAAGAGGGATGCCAAGAAAGGAAGAATGTGATATTAGTGGTAACAGAGAGGCATAAACTCGGAATGAGTTGGATTTGCTGATTAAATAAATTCTGATCACAACCCATGATGAGTTGATGAATGATCGCTATTGTCGTATTGAGAGATTGTTAGAGATTAAGAGATTGTTCAACGGATAACTGTTAAGAATTGATGAGCAGTTATGATCTGATAAACAGTTGATGAGCGTTAAATGAAATGTGTTTATTTCAAGTATAAACAACATTACATTCATATTCTAATTGTTGTTATCAATATTATTACCGTTCTCTCAATACCATTAATTTGCCACTATCATAAGATCTTTGTTTTCAGTATTATTATTATCATTATAAAATAATATTGACTATTATATAACAGCGAATTAAAGCACTGTTCGCAATGATTCATTTGCAACGACCTGTAACTGCAATAAATGCCGACTGTTCATTATGTAAGTTGGAAACACCCACGTGCCCAGCTATCAGCTCACAAACAGCCGTCGATCTATTCGTTTACTTTTTACCTTTCTTTTTTATCATCTTCTTCATTCATCGAATAATCTCGCTTCACTCAATCTTATCTTCGTAATTCTATCAAGCATTCCAAATCAACTCAGCTCTGTTCATCGCCAATAGATGATAATAAATCGCTTGCAAAAGCGGAATGTTTCTTTGTCCCCTTTGCTGAACTATGAAAAATATTTGTTCGAGTATTTAACGACTGGAATGCACCTGATGTTTTGCTTGGCTAGTACCATACATTAAGCAACACATCGCAGACACTGCGGAATACCAGCATATCATAGAGCATTGACATCTACACAGGTGAGAACACCTCGTAACCCGCTGACACTGTTTACAACTGCTTTTACTGACTGAAATTATGATGAAAAAAGCGAAATGCATTTACGATGCTGTGGTCCGATGAAGTTGTTGGAAATGATGACGTAATCTTTCAAGTAATGTTAGCGTTCATTCCACTACTGCTACATCTTGAATAGCGGTGTTAGTAATGAATGATCGTTTGTATTTATTATACTATGGGATGCATCTGTAGTGTGGGTGCATTGGAATTAGGAATTATCAACAAAGTCACAAAAAATGATAAATAAATTAAAAGACGAATTGTGTAGATGAGCAAAAGAGAGCAAATGAAAGAAAGTAACAAAAGATAAATGATGTTTATTATTTTGTGTTATGCAGTAAGTGTGTTGATTAGCAATGGAATGACAAAAAAAAGAACAAATAAATAAATAAATGCTATAGAACAGATTCAAATTGTCGAGATAGTAGTATATTGTGGCTTGTTCAAGCGTATAACGTCTTTCTCGAACAGTAGTTCCAAGAGATCTGTAGCTGTTTCACAAAAGCACTTCTTCGTTCTCTTCATTAAGTACCCAACCGCTTATACAAACGAACAGAGAGTGAAAAGTGCGCGATAAACGCTTGCCTGCTTCATCATCATCATTATCAATATCTTTCGTACCTAGCATTCACCTAACATCTAACGAAAACAAAACACAACACAACAAAACAATCCCGTTCAATCGTACACTGTCTGTCACCTAAACTTCTTAAAAGAATCTATATCTTCACTCATTCACCATTAAACGAATCATCATCATTTAACTTCTAACAGTTCAGTTGATTGTATACTTTAGCATTTAAACAGTGAAAGTCCACCGTAAAATCACTGTAAATATCAGTCAGTAACGTTTCGTTTCACGAGAATTCCTCAATCGAAATTCATCGCTCGTTTAATATGGCTGACTCAGTTACCGGTAAGTTATAATTCATCTATATTATCTATATGTATCTTGAATTCATCTTATAGTATAAGAATTGAGTCGGGTCGCAAGCCTCATTTCGACTTCTCTTCATTATGATAATGCGTCCACTAATCAATATCTCGTTGTAAGCGTTCGATGATAACGCATTTCTCAGAACGACTCATCCTACCATAAAAGTTTAGTTAAACGCTGATGATGTTATTTTCTTTTCAAAAGCCAATAAGGGTAAGAAGAGGCGTGCAGTCATGCAACGGAGAATATGGGGTATGACGGCTATAAAAACGATACGATTAGCTTTGCGTAGAAACCATTTTAAAAACGCTGACTTTGCGCCCAGTTAAGAAGCACTCAAATTTATGGTCAAGCTACATCAGAACTTTCGCGTACACCTCATATTTGAGATCTCCAGCAAGCCATATTCATTGTAAAGCAAATAAAATAAAATCGACCTCGGCTATAAATCAACTATGACAAATTATTCAGTATTTTCATTGTCCAGTATTTTCATTCTATTAATTTTCATTCGAATTTCATTTGGAACAGAGAAAGTGGAAAAATTCTCTCATTTTGCAGTTGCTTCAATCTCAGATTAACGAAACATGATGAAAGGTTTATAGTTACACTGATTGAAAACGCAGACTGTGCTCAATAAAAATATTGCTGCCAGCTAATGAGTTTTGACTTAGTTTTTCGATACAAGAAATCAGTCAGCAAAATGCGATCATTACACCTAAAAGGAACCTTATAAAATTGCATGGAAACTCCCAAATCAATTAAAAGGGAAAATGCGTTAAGGGAACACTATGCTTCTAAAATTAAGAATGTGTGCGCAGTTATTGATCAGTTCGAATGCATCGAGTGAGTGGATATCGGTAATACATAACGAATGTGTGATTTAAAGGTGGTGCACAAGAACGTCTGAAGATTGCAGCTGCTGAAGCACCAGTAACTGCTGAGAACGAACGTCGCACGCGTGACGGTAAATTCACTTTGAGACAGTTAAGGCAGACTGATGGACTAATTCCCCTTCAGTCGGGAACAAATCAATTCGATTCACAGAAGGTTGAGTTGCTTTCTGTTTATATTGTTTCATTCATCGTCATTTGAACTGATGAATCAATTCATCGCAGTTCACATCCAGCATTTTGTGCAGCACACAACAAAGCAGTCATAATCCTTGCGCAATTTTTCAATATTGTGAATTTGCATTGAGTAGACGAGATTGCGTCAATGATTGAATGAATATGTTGTGAATTATAGGGTAAGACTGGCTTCGGTATGCCACGCAATACCGCGACACCAGTCGAATTCGCGGACAGAGGAAAAAAGTGGACTATAGCGCAGCTGAGGGCAACAGATTCAATCGTAAGATTACAGTCCGGCACCAACCGTTATGAATCTCAGGTACACGAACTTAGGTTTTTCATTCTTCTCAGGCTTTTTTTGACTGCATGTTCATTTAGACAACATTTCGGTTATTCAATGAGAGTTTCAATGAAATAAACTCAAAAATCGTTGTTCATTTGGAATATTACTGGAATCAGTCAAGTCAAATATGAATAAACATGTTTGATTCGCAGAAAGGTATGACTGGTTTTGGAACGCCAAGGGATGTGAAAGGAAAACATTTGAAACGAATCTGGGAACTCGAGTTTCCTGACGAAGCGATCCCCGATGATCAACGATTGCAACAAACTGAAGAACATATTGAATAAGCCTCGAACCGATGGAGATCAAGCATAGCAGAAACCACTATAAGCTGTTACTGGAATTCACATCTATGCAACTGAATTTCTCATATTCTAATAATCAAAATCTTGTCTTTTTCACACTGGAAATCTTTCAGTTCTCCTACTCAGTGCACAAGTTTATCTCTCTCTCTTCAAATATTCATTTCATGACATAATGTTCGAATTACTCGGTAATCATCCCAAGTTAAAGTATGAATCTTTTCAAAAAATTTCTACTTGCAGTTTTCGTTGTAACGAATAATTTTATTCGATAAACTTAATGCATTTCCATCAATATCCATTATTACTTGAATGTTCTCATCTAAACACCCGACTCAACCCAGATGTGACTGTCACCACATTTTCTGACCTTCCTCACTGCATCGCATCGCCGATCAATTCTACACGCCAATTAATCAACACATCGCAATGTATCAGTCGAGATAAAATTCGGCATTCAGTTTATTGCCTCGAAATATATTTTCATTTGAATTTGGTGTACGACCTCATTCATTAGCTGAGAGAATTTTGATGACCTGTGGTTGTTTGCAACGAAAGCATTCAACTGCACGATACACTGAAATGTAGGGTTTCACAACGAAAGTTAAACTCGCTTTCAACTGGGAACAGCACAGTTATTGCTTTCACCGACACAACCTCTAATTTTGACTTCAGTGGGGTTTGACAAGAGTGTTGTTTCTAAGCTCTTCAATGAAGCATACTCATTCATGAATAACGATGGTGAAATGAACAATTATCGTTCGAATTTATCAGTACTTCTACAGATGTGATCGGCGTTGAGCTCAATTCGAAAAAAAAAATAAAATTTATTCTCATAGGTCAATGACAGATATAATATTTCAGTGACATAGTAGATATATTTGACCAAGCATTTTTGAAACAAACAGATTAATGCAAGTGGGCAATCAAACATAACATTTCATCAATTAGGTAAAAATTATTGAAAACAATGACGACGCACTCACCGAATACGGAAACAACAATCAAAACAATAACTGAAATATAGTTCCAATTCAATAATTGGCTGATACAATCATAAAACTTGAAGGTTTATGAATGAAAGCTGAATTGATGACGATGCAACAATAAAAAAAATAATGAATCCGAATGGTTTCATTCGTTGTTTTTTTTGGAGGACCGAATAATTTCATTTTGGAGGACCAAATAAATGCAAAAAGCCAGATGGAGGATCTGAGGGTTTCATTCGTTGTTGCAATAAGAACTGTATCGCAGGACGACGATCAGTTGCAGGACAGTCGAAAAGGATTCGTTCCGGAAAAGTGTCATCTTGCTGCAATGCAGTAAGAACGGTATTCAGTGGCATACGAACTAACGGTAGTTCACTATCCTTACGCTCCAATGAAACAGTATCCGTATCCGGTTCTTCAGTGATACTGAATCGAGGAAAGTCCACTCCGAGTTCAGCTAAAAACATTATCTTGTCAGAGCATTGATCAGGTCAAGTTGATTTGATTCATGATTGGTTATCAATAACCTGAAGCATTCTCCTAACTCGTCAATAAAAACAAAACACAAACAAACCAAGGATAGCAGTAACATTGGTTTGTTTTTCAGTCGCACCATCTGCTCTGTCCGATTGCGATGTGTCTCTGCAACGGGAAATAAAAATTCCAATCACGAATTTGTTTTTAGTGCAACCTGCTGTTGACTGAAACTTGCAATTAACTAAATCCTACTGAACAGTTAGATCCAAGAGCAATTAGATTATACTATAGAATTTTTAAAATTGAAAAACTCCTCAACAATTTCTCCTAAGACATTTGTTGTGGTCACTACCCGTTGAAAAATTGCAAAGGATGACAACAACCAAAACCGAATAATCGTTTGGTGGAAGAGGATAGAAGCAAAAACATAAAACAGCATGATGTATCATAATACCTATTATTCGGGTCGAAGATTTTGATATGTACAGATGCATTGTTTGGCGAATCCTCTTCCACATTTTCACTTTCGGTATCAGCCTTAATAACAAAACAATAATTGTTATCAACACAAATTTATCAATTAATAGAAAATTTAAAAATAATTCTAATGAAAACTGCAACAAACAACAAAACCGACTGATTATTGACGACTAAAAATTTTCATTCCCAACTTCGAATGAATCAAACCTCTTCAGCAGCCTGAAGTGCTGCTTTTTTCTCCTTTTTTGTCATTCGTTGTTCCTTCTTCCTAATTGTCTCCTCACCGATTTTTTGTAAAAGATTATTTGCATGAGAAAACAATGAATCATTGAGAACCGTTGGTGACGATAATACCTAAAAACTGATAGCAAAACATCACAGCACAACTATTCTTCCCAAAAACATAAATAAACTTTGAAAGCACCGATAAAGTAAGAAACCTTTTTCAGTCGTGCCCAATTTGTCCTTTCCTCTCTGTTGAATTTACTTTTCAATTCAGCTCGAGCACGAGAGGGAAAGAATTCATGCATTAAACCAAAATCAGGTCCAGTTGCCCTGAATTAACAAATAAAAGCAATTGAATTATCATCTTATGACAATACACATTTTTGATAGTGACTGAAAAAATGATGAATGAAAAACATTTGTATCAAACGAATGGAAGAAGAAAGTATATGACTGGAAGTATTTAAAAAAACATGTAATTTAAAATCGGAGAGAATCAAGGGAATTGATGAAAAAATCTAGAATCACCTTAAAATATCATAAAAGAGGTCAGTTTCGAGATCACTCCAAGTAGTTCCTTTACGCCATGCCCTCTTACGAAAACTCGTTGACGTCACTTTTCTTCCGCTACGATCCTAACGAAAGATAATTTTGAATTGTACTTATTTAAACTGTACTTACTAAATTTTAGCCGTTGAAGGACGACAATAATTCAGATGATGAATACTGCGCTTATTCCGTGAAAGTATCGGTTTTATTAAATTGAAAATCGAACAAAATCTGGGAATCAACAACCTCATTCACAGTTTCCCATGCACTCGTTGACTGTTCATTGACAACCGTTAAACTCGATTCATCTACGATCAGTGATCCATCATCAGCTATTTTTACCTGAAAGGATATGTGAATCAGTCTCATTCACTTCCCATCAGAATGGAGATATATTTTTTGAAATGAAATGAATGAACGATACCAAAAATCACAATCGGAAAATAATCCGCATCAAATATAAGATTTAACCATGCTGAAGAAATATTATTCAATCAAGGTATTCAAGCAAGTAATATCTATACATGCCTGGGGAGCAACAACTTTCTTAGATGAAGATTGTTCCGCTTCAGCTTGACGTTTCTCTTCTTCTTGTTGTTTTTGCCAATCGCTTAGTTCCATATCTTTGTTTTCCTTTTTATTGTTTTCCCGACTTTTCAACGCCTAAATGGAATCAATCTTACAGTGGATGATCAACATACCCCTTTGATACCTTCTTTTATCGTAAATCGAGAAGAAATAAGTGCCTTAGTGTTATCAACTCCGTTCATGTAATGGAGAATTTGTCTGGATATTACTTATGGATATCATACAAATGAATTTGAGAGGATAGTCACCGTCAATACCGTATCATTTTTTGGATTCCACCAAATCATGTCGAACATTGTCATTGTTTTCGGATCTAGTGGCTCATCGCCCGTGAATCGTTTCCTGCAACCAACCAATCATAACCGATACAATAATAAAGCTTCCAGGAGAATTCAGAGAACTTCTACGTCCTTTATACGTTTATATGTGGAATCATAATAACAGCAATATCTAAAAGCATTAAAAAGCATACCCACCGAGTCTTCGGCACTACTTCAGAACTTTCGAGCGGAGTTTGCTGACGACTGAGGGTAGTTGTGGTGGATGTGGAGGTGCTACGATGACGTCTTGGTGAGCCACCACAATTGGAAGTCGATTCATCTGAGGAGACCGTGCCACTTCCAGAGGGTGGTGATTTGAGCGGTGAATTTGGCCGTGACGAACTGTTCAATTTGATCTTCTCAGAGATTTCTTCTTCGTGAGCAGAAAAAAATAATTATGGTTTACTACTGAATCACAATAATAACCACGGGAACTTGTTTTAAATTCAGAGAAGCCATCAAGCACAATGATACAAGATAATCACAATAAGCTAATGAAAATAATATTGCATGAAAAAAGTGAACGAGTCTGAGCAAGAAAATCGATACAATTTTCAGTTTTTGATGAAACAGGTAGGAGTCGAGCATTATTTCGATGTGTTGCATCTAACTGTGCTTTGTTCGATGACTCCAGTACCTCGTTGCTATCGGTATTTGTTTTTGAACCACTCACAGTGGCAGTTTGTTGCTTTCGTTGTGTAGCGTTTTGCTGTTTCGCAGCTGTACGAACCATTCCCGAAACATTCGGGCGCACCTACAATGAACAGCGTGATGAGCATTATCAAAGTATTACTTGTGAAAGTAAGCTGAACATTGAGATTTGTTTTCACAAAGGGATAAGTTAGAATTTATAGCTATATGAACGCATAGACTCACTTGAATACGACAACGCCTTGAAGCGGCCGGACCCGACATCATCAACTTTCTAACAGATTGAGATACACGATTATCTGAACTAAATTCCTACGGCACTTTGCAGGTCTACGGCAGATCCACTAGTGACAATTGCAAGCCCGACATTTGGTAAACCCATAGTTGATCACACAAACTTCGTTTCGGTTCGCTTTTTGTGCAATGCGAACGCACGTTCACCATTTTGTGCATTTGTCCGTCGTCATCCAGAAATACAACGGGGCACGTAACAGACACATGAGGGAATGTGCTTGCGATAGAGAGAGGAACCACAGATGGACAATTGATTTAATTGAAGCACCATCAAACCCTCGAAGGGTTCGAGCAAATGGAAGCACTCAAACTGATCTGCAGCTATCAATGTTAGATGAGAATATGACGCTGATCCCGCTTTCCATACCAAATTCACAAAAAAAAATCGCTCACTTCGTTCCTTTTTATCGCGGTCATTATCACCAATAAGTTTTGATCATCATCATCACATTAGTTTCTATGCATTGACAAATTACTCTTCAATAGATCATTACATTCAACTGGTGGAAATTTTGAAATATTTCGTTGACGCAGTCGAATTTAAATGTTCCCGAGGCGGGAATACGCCCGAGGCAAAACATATGAAAGGGTTCGTTTTCATAGTGTAACCAAGTCAAGCATGTCGTTCTCAAAATATGAAATCTAAATTTAAAGAATTTGAAATACAACCCAAACAAAGTACTTGATATCTTTAATTCAAATCTTAAACGTAAAAGATCCCCACGAGCAAATGCTAATCGACGACAAAATGTTATGAGAAAGCACATTCAATGAATTTCAAGATGGATGCGAGTCGCAGGTATTTCATTCTTAACCTTCTGTCCCTCTCTCTCATTAAACCCATATTGGGTACTAAATGTATTTGTGATATGACATGTTAGTAGATGCCTGTGGTAAGCCATTTCTTCCTGCGGACACTATTCTGTTCAATCGGAAATGGCACAGATATTAAACCCATGTTGGGTACTAAATGTATTTGTGACAATGGTTTCTGCAGACGATCGTTCGTCACTAACTTCTTCTGATTTCCCTCTGCCTATTCAATTTATTCCACTTGCCCCCTCATTCAGATTTCTGGCCCTGATGTTGTGAATGTTTGGCGTTCACGCTATAACCGTGACCAGGAAGCTGCCGCTATAGATATTGTCAAACGTTTGGCACTAACTATAGCCCAACAGAAAATCACTGTATTGTGCTTCTATCTAGCTACCCGAGATTATCTGCGCTCTTAACTGGAGGGACTGCATGTTGACTGTCATACGGTTGACAGTTTTCAAGGCAAGCAGAACGACATCATCGTCCTCGTTACCAGCCGTTCCTATGATATTCGAGCTGTCGACGAGAGCAACGTCAAATTCCTTGCGGATCCCCAGCGAATAACGGTGGCACTATCCCGAGCCAGCCATGGCCTCCTCATTATTGCAGATTTCCCAATGCTACTGAAATATGGAACATGGCAGGCATATTTACGTCATGCAACCCAAGAAACCCCCATTGTCAATAGCAACTACACTACAGCTATTTTTGACGAGGTTCGTCACGATCGTCGCAGCATGTTGGTAGATGCTGTGGCAAGCCATTTTTTCATGCGGACACTATTCTGTTCAATCGGAAATGGCATAAATATTAAACCCATGTTGGGTACTAAATGTATTTGTGATATGACAGGTATTTGTTTTTCGTTATTCTGATATGTGTCTTTTTCGAAAAATTCCAAAGAATTCATAACTCTAAAATATACAGATTCGTTTGCTTGCAGTGGAAAGCAATAGCTACAAATATACCATATGACATCCAATTATGGCATTTGTGCATGCATTGCCCATTGATTGATCTGTCACAGATTCTGGTGAATGTTGAAAGGTTACCAGATACTGTGATTTCATTCCATTATTTTCGTGAAAACATTTTCAAAAAATTCACTGGCTATCACTCAAAATTCATTCGATGATCGACAGTTTACCACTTTAGAAAATTGTTTCCTGAAGTAGTGGAGTAACTGGAACGATCGAATGCGACATTCATTGGAAAAGATAAACATACTGCATTGGAATGGACGTATTTTGTTTGCACATGATGAAATTAAATGGTAGAACACTTGTTCGCCGTGTGATTGATAAATAACACGCCTGATAAGAACCGATTATTGTCAGCTCATTTGATAAGCATCAGTATAATCATTTTCAGACTTATTGATTGCCTACTCATCCTTCGAAACGTTTCTTTATGATCATACAGTAACGTTTGTGATTCATTGTCTTCTATTCTCTTTTTAGTCCAAATATTCCTTATTTTCTTCATTTGATTACAAATTTCGACTGAATTCCTTCAACTTTTTTCGATGCATCGCTCAATTCGAAAAACTAGATCTCATAAATATTTATTCAGATGCATTCTTATAAAAAGGGTTTGCAAGGGATCCTGGGATCCCGACACTTGAATCTCGATCCAGTTGTAGGATTCAATTTCCGACAAATTTCAGGATTTGATTAAGCATGACATTCGATAGAATTTTGGTAATATACTCATCTCGATTCATGAAGCTCATCCATATGTAGTAATATGTATTGTTTACCACTAAAGCAGTAATAGAATGACGAATCAGTGTACAATATCGTCACGTTGGCTTTCGTTTTTCACAAAACAGTGAACAAGAATTTTAAAATGTTATCACTCTTGCTTCATATCTGGTCACCACCGCTGCTTTATCTTCCATTTACTGTAGTTCATCAACTTCGCATTTATTCTTAAAATATGCCTTCAAATAATGCTGCAAGCTCGGATATATTAAAGAATACGAAGAAAGCGATGATCTTTCTCACTGTTAGGAATATTTTCTTTACCTAAAAGGTAACGAAATTGCGAAATGTAAACTGTGAATTGAAATTGAAAGAGCAAAAGGACCGTTCACGAAGGGACTTGAAGTTGTGCTCGAAGTTGAAGCGCCATACAATATTTTGCAACTAAATAAATGCTCCAGAAGCCAAAAGTGATCCACCGATTACCAAATTTCTCAAACCTAATTCCGCACTAGCTACTGGTCCACTTAATGACATGACCGCCAAGCTTTGCTCCACTGATAGTTTTAGTTTTAACAATATTGCGTGAAGAAATGAGTGATTCAACAATCAACGTCCAAACGTTTCTCACAGCTTATTTCACTTTACTAAATTATTTTCTTTGAATCTTTTGTTGGTATGTCAATCTTAATTTCATTTTTTTGTTACAATGTTGATGACCATTACTCCTGTTGACGATTCTATTCGCACTATTTTAATATTTTCAGTATACGAATTCTGCTATCTGAATATGACAATTTAAATCAGTTTGAAACATCTGAGTAAATCAAAAGAAAAATTATCGAGAAATAAGTTTGGTTTCCTTTCATGAACATTAATCCATTAATATTATTCACAGAAAAAATTTAAGTATTGTCGCAATGAATTCAATAGTTGATGTTATATCTGAATTTCACTTGTTTTGTAATGTTGATGTTTTCTTTCCATATTTTAAATTGCTTTTCCCCGTATGATTTGTTGAATGAATTGTTTCCTAAAACACAATGTTTAAAAAAGAATGTACTGAACACGTAACATTTCTATACTTCAAAAGTTGCTGTATCTCGGGATTATCTCAGAATTGAAAAACGACCCCGAGATTGAAAAGTTGTTGGGATTTCGCAAAGAATAGTCACAAATCTCTCTTGTTCATTTGAATGGCATTGTTTGAGCTCCATATTGAATCGTACTTTCGAATGCTTCACCGCACGAAACTTTACTAGCTATCATTCAGTTACTATTAAATTCAACAAACTCCCTTCCAATCATTGCACAAGAATCATAAGAATGTTTTCTTAACCGTAACGAACGTTACATGCCTAGAAGAGACAATACAAGTTCAGCGGCGAGTTCTTTTCAAAATGTTCCATTTCTTAAGTGAAGGTGCCTAATGATGAAGTCAAGCAATGTGATTGTTTTAATGGAGCTAATTGTGATTCTGATAACATATCAAGTGAATGGTACCAGGAAGTTCTTCAGCGGCTGTAACTCCCGGTGTTCGATCGCCTTTGATAAAGTAACTTTAGTGAAGTTTTTTGGGCGATCATCCATGAATGTGTGAAATTGCAATCACATCTACCAATTGATGTGGAAATTGCATTGGCAACGAATTTCAAACTGAAAAAAATGTCAGACTGATATGTTGGAATAAAATGAGTATGAAACATCATGAACACTGTTGTTTAACTTTGAAATGCATTATAATATCATATATGAAATTGTTCCCTCAATTGATCACTCAAACTCCGTTCCTTTTGTTCTATGATAGAAGAGTGTGCGGAAAAATTTCAGAATCTGAAATGTTGGAATGCAACGATAAAATATTTTACGGATGTTTTCACAAGTGCGATGAACGGTTATGTTTCTACACAGGTTAATATCCATTGTTGGAATAATGATCTTTGCTGTCATTTGCAAATGAAAAAGACGCCTGGTATGCTAATGGTACAAGCGTTGAACAGTAACTTCACCAAAAACTGACGACTGAACTCAAAATAATAGGTTACCATGAGAAGATCAAGCATTTCATGGAATACTCGATTAAATCTAACTCACTGAAAAAACTCGAGAAGCATATTATTGGAATGAAATATTATTGAAAATTTCAGTTTCATGTTATCTAATTGAAGTCAAAAAACAATATTTCAGTCAACAAAACGAAAACCAACGGATGGGAAATAAATTGACTGTATTATCATTTTAATTGAGGTAGTTGTAGGTGAATATTGTAAATTGGTACGCTCAGCATGGATTGCAACCAGTTCCCAAAAACATTATTATTCAGGTTCGCCCTCAGTCAGTCGCTTTTACTTGATGCATCACGAGCTTGTGTTTGAGGCAGTGTAGTGCCACTGTCATTCTCAATGAATTCAGTGAGCCCATTCCTATGACAGTGACTTGATTTGCCGTGCTCTTAAAAGAGTGTTCATTCAGGATAGTTTGAGACGCATGCAAACTTATGAGCCACCAGATATCGTCGATCAACAGGGGATTATCAATGATCATTTGACAAGTACCCTTGTTGAAACGCTTATTGATGCAGCCGAGGTAAATTCACCTGAATGTTTTGATGTGCTGCCATTTTCAATATTGAATGACTGCTCTGTCACTGACTACACCTAATTAGAAGAAATGGTGTCGAGCTTATTTGTTATCAAAGAACAATTGGCATTGTTGAGAACATTATGTATCTATTCCTTAATGTAAATCGTCTCATACATGATGATAAAAATAAAACTTTATTGATGTAGGAACTGGCCATCGAGCGTCCGAAACCGAGCACACAGTACTGTCCTTATGGCTGCGAGAAAAGTTGGAATTTGTGGATGTGGTTGACGATTGCTTCATTTGGTTTTTCAGGAGTTACTATTGTTACTCTACTTTGCTTGTCTAGACGGATGGATATACTAGACAGAGGAAGCGACGAAATTGAAGCGATTGAAGATTCAAAAGAGCGTCAATGTTGTTCACTTCTTGATATGTTTAGTATGAGTACTTAAGTGTGCATTTTACTGTGATTTGCTTTTATGAGACGTGAACATGTAGATATACATCGATATACGGCGGTAATTGCTTCTGGAGACAACGAACAATGATGTTTGTCGAACAAGGCCCTTATAAATCATTACTAAACATTTTCAGTTGCTTTGATCTAGTGTATATAAATCCTTGAATATTGCTTTGTAAATATGATTGAATAAGTGCGCAGACTTATTGAATTGACTTGAATCTGAATGTTTGTCGAACAAGGCCCTTATAAATCATTACCTACGGAACTCTGGTTACGTATGGAATGACTATAGTTATTCGTAAAATAATTCTAATTGAATGTATGGTAATGTGGCAATTGTTCAATAAATTGACTGATCCGTTCAAACACAATTTTTGCATGTTTTATTCGACTTTTGGTATTTTTGACTAGTATTGCGATGAGCAAATCTTTTTTAAGCTGATTTATGCAGAAAAGTAAGTTTTTCAAAGAATTTTTTTCGAGATCGGGGTGACTTAATTCCGAGACTGACGTAAGTCGGAACAACGTGATCGGAGGATACTTGTACACTGCGAAAGCAAATATAAAGTGATAATATTTCATTTTATTTAAAATTCTTTCAACACCCGTATATCGCTTAATCACTGTACACGATAGCGACTGTTTCAAAATGAGAACTGCACCTCAAACTGGACCTATCCAAAGTAATCCTGCAAAGATACATTGAAATATTGTTTATTACGATTCGCAGTTCGATTTTCTAGTGTATTTGTGTGTTCAAAATCAACGTCATTCAATCATACGCTCAATGCAACGAATAAAACCTCCGTGTATAAAACACTGAAAGTATCGAAAGTAAAAGTTTCGGTGGTAAACTGTTTCTAATGAGTAACCAGTGAATTTCACTGACTGTAACATGAATGGCCATATCGTTTTTCTCTTCATTTCGCCAACTCGAAACGCCAGTAACATTTACCGTACCAATTGTACGAGAATTCATTACCTAGTTCGAATGGACTGTTATGAAATATCTTACTTCATCATCGTCTTCCTCAATCCCATCGATATTCCCATGTTCAAATGTTGTATTGTTGATGGCTTCTGCATAATCACGCATTGGAATAAAATTACTGTCATGTTCAAATCCGTCATTATACGAACAATTTTCATGCCATTCATTTGCAGATGAAGTATCATTATGCAACTTTTGTGAAATTGCTTCAAACCGACTTCTTAATGCACCCCTGAAATGCGATTTCCATGACGAACTGAATGTTCCAGTTGCTGTCTTTCGTGGACTATTTCATTCGTTATCGCGTTAGGCATCAAACAAAAATGATGCACATGTGCTGGTATCAAGAACACCTACCTATGATCATTATTCCATGCTGATTCTTTGACACGCATCAATGCTTCAATATATGAATTGCTATTTTCATTTTCCTCCCTTCCATAACCGAAACGTTCGTAATCAGCTGAATCGATCGGAAATCCCGATGAATCCATTCCGATCGCTTTCGGTCCATATTTTTCAACAGCACGCAGTGTTGTATCAACTGTTAAACTTGCTGGTGGCAAATGATCAACATCTTCGAAATCTTGAGCTCGACTGTCTTCCGATCCATCAGCCATTTTTTGTAGACCCGTGAATATATCGTTGTAGATTTCGATCATCTAAATTGTTAACATTTCATTGTCTAATACCCGCAACAGCAATATACTCATAGGTTCTTATTGATCCATATTGATAAGTCACTGACTCATTAGAAAACGTCTTAATCACCACTCTGGGACGATGGCATCAACTGTAATTGGACTACAGTTTTTTTCTCGAAAGTGACCCTTAAGAATCGAACTGTGGACAGACCTGTGGAACAGTGCTAGTGGCTGTGACTATCGGATAAGTATAAGATGTATCACGATAATAATCGGTTGTTGTCATCGTTTTCAGGTTTGCATTCTTGCAACAATATAATAAATTCCGTATTCTGAAAATAATCACTTGATCAATTTGATGAATTGTTAATTAACTGAATATATGCTGATCATAATATTGTATTCTAGATATGGAATCCGAACGAAATTCCGGTCGGTAGTACTCCAACCGAGTTGGCATTTCGTCATTCCGATATTCGGAATTTTGACCGATTTTCCAACTTGTTCGGTCGGAATCCGACTGAACTGGCATTTCGTCATTTCGATAGTCGGAATTCCGACTGAAACTGTCGGATTTTTCCGACCGATTGTCGACCGGATCCCATCACTTCTGTATGCTAATTACACCACTCATGTTATTATTTGTTTGACATAGCAGACATTCAATTGCTATTTCTTAGATTTGTCTCTTTGCAACTGATCGTTAGTTCAGTTATTGGCAATGACTATTTTAATAGAATTTTCAGGTGTTGTAAATCTTTAATTTCCTCAACAAAAGGGATAGCTGCATGCACTCGACCATCACTTATCGTCAGTGATAAATAATATCGACGAACCGCTTACATATATCAGAATAAAAGCATTAGTAATAAATGCATACTCTAACAAGGTTGCAGTTACCACCAACTCAATAATATAATATACAACAAGTGCGTTTGAAATAGGTATGCGAATGCAAAAAAATAAAGGAATCTACGAACGTTATTAAATGATACGAATCAACTCACCTTTTTCTATAAACGATCACAACTGAACTAACAATAATTGCTGCAATTGCTCCCGCAACTGATACAATCAACCAAGATATCCAGGGCGCTGACTCGTGTTTTTCTTGCGATGCGATTGCAGTTTTTGGCGGCGCTGTTACCATTGATAATATACAGTAACGCACGCTGGAAGATCCCTGAAATTATATTCTAATGAGTTGGTCATTGTCTATATGGATTTCACATCCTAAGTATTCAACTATAACCTTCTCAGTTGAATGTGTGCTATTCATGGACTACTTATTTGATTTTTTAACACATTAGAGTGCAGGACTGTGGAATGCATGCAAAATATGAGATAAACTTACGGGGTTCAATGTTGTGAAACCAGTACCACATGGCACACAGGCAGATTGGTTCCATCCATCCTGAGGAATGAAAAAATAAATGATTCAGTTCGTGATCCTCATTGTCAAGATCGCCAATAAAAGTGGATAAATGATCTGATCAAACCTGATAATATCCAATAGGACATTGTAAACAAATATCTGTAAGACGATCACTGTCCTGATTCAAGGGTGCAACTACACTTTGATTGATATATGTGCCCGGTGGACAGTTCATAACAGAACAGTCTTTTGTTGATGAACAGTTTGTGGTTGGAGTAGTAAAGCCAAGATTGCATGATATGCACTTTACAGTTTCGTTACTGTTTGGTCGAAATGAACCTTTTGGACAAGCCACACACAGCTCTTCAACACCCATATAAAATCCACCTTCACAAGTTACATTGCAGTCCTTTTCACTTCTTGAACCCTACAAATTTCCTAGCTGATTCTTCATTCATGCATCCTTTGAGAGGATGTTTCCTATTAAAAGTTTTCATAATCTGATCTTTATAGCAACTTTTTAAATGGATCATTCTTCAGAACTCATGAAAAAGCTGAAAAGTTCCATAATCGAAACTCATACGACGAGAAATTATAACGGTACCCAGACATTTTGCCTAAAGACGTTTCGCCTAGGGACAGCTTGCCTATTAGGCAAAATATCCATTGAAAAACCGTCCGTTAGGCAATAAATTGTTCGGTCACGAATTATAACAGTGCTCAGGTAGCACACAGTTCTTTCGTGTTTCAGTTACGATATAATGAAATAGTACAACGTTTTCTTACGGTCCCAGCTGTCGAATATCCCAACTTGCAAGGGAAGCACTGAATCGCTCCATCTTCTGGTTGGAATGTTCCACGCTCACATTGCTTGCAACTGGATGTAGTAGGATTATAGTAGTTGCCAGGTGTACAGTTGGCTAAATGTTTTGCATATTTTGTTAGCAAACTGCAACAATTTTGAAATCATCTGAGTTAGGAACAAGGTTATGAAAAGCGATCGAAATCATTCAAAATTGCGTTGACAGATCAATCGCTGTGTTCATATCAAATACAATGGAGCACAACTTACAATAGCAATCGACTTCCATCGTAGCGCCTGTTGTGCCTGTAACCGTTCCATTAGCACATTTTTTGCATGGACCATTTCCTTCCACATCCTTATATGTATTTTCTGGACAAGGTATACAAGTTGAGTTGCTGAGGTAATAACCAATCGTACATTTCACTACAACATCAATATGGCATTCATGAATTTTTTTGAAACTTTGGTCTTCAGTTCCTCTTTAAACTACACAAATTTACTAACGAGAACGTACGATATTGTTGAGTGAGATTGAAATTAAATTCGAACTTTACGAAAGCACAGAAAGTTTCAAATAACTGATGGATTGCTTAGCTTCACGATGTAAAATATGAGTGGAAAAAAAGAAATACCGCATGCTTTGAGCTCGCCATTCAATAACATCTGATAATCAGGATCTTTGCAACTCCATTCTGTTGTTGGCGATTTCGAATTATTTCCGTATTCTTCATACATACTCGTATCAACGTAATGGAAGATCGACGATCGTGTAGTGCTTCAAGATGGATATTTTTAGAAATGGCACTGAGTGTTTCAAATGATATATAATTTTATCCGATCTGTGGGTCAATATGAGCAGTGAATGATACAATTCAGACTGTCGCATTTCAAATAAAATCTCAAACTTTCTAGCTCAGCAAATGTTTACTTTATTGTGAGAACATATGAGAGTTCAATGCGCTGTAGAATGGTACTTTTCTTGACTCTTTTCGCACAGTTCGAAGAGATGTTCACTTCACCACTACAGTTTACTGTTCGACAGAAACCTGCACCACCGTATCGCTTGTTTGCAATCTGAAGCAGTCATATCCTTATAGTTAGGCATTTTCCACCGATGATTTCATGCTGACTTCCCGAACGAATATCTTCCAGGATGGCATCAACACTTTTTGAGGTTTTTCGAATTGTGTCAATCATGAACTTAAATACCCTGCTCTCATCAGCAAACACATGCATCAAATGTAGCATCAAAAAAAATATTTATAGATATTATGCATACCGCTATACATTGCATTAAAACTCTTTCGATATCTTCAATATTTGAACAATGGTCATTCACTGATACTGAGCCTGAAATGAGTTCATAAAATGATACGATCGTTTCTGACTAATCAACATTGAGATATTAAGGCTAAGTTCAACCATTCAGCCGTTGTTCGGGAGGTTTATAAGCTGAACATGACGGAAAACGATATTGAATTGGATGATGCCAACGAGACCATCGACCCTTAAACGTAATTGTTATTTCTCCACAATAATTGCTCGCAAATTTCCCACAAAAAATGCAAAAGATGAATTATAGAATGCAATGAGCCGAGCGAATTCGGCCGTATTATTGATAAATTTCGAGTATTAGAATGACTAAATCCTTTTAAAATCCTAGCAAAATGAGGCATCTAGCGAGTTAATAATACAATAGAGGTAATTATTGAAAGAAGCTGACCATGATATCGCAGACAAAGAAAGCCGGCATTTTGGTTGCAAACAAATAACCATCTCTACAATTCAGAAACGCTGCTCGACGTGCCACATCGCTGCTATTCAACTCTAGTGTGCTCTTATTGCCATTGTATGGATCGGATGGTTCAGTGCAATTTTGTGGTGACACAACAATATCAAATTCACATGTTGCAATATTACCTGCTTTATCACTGGCTATGTAAATCACACGGTATTGACCCCTGAACTGAGATATTTATTACATTTACCTTTACCTTTACATTCACCATATACCTTTCAATATTCATTCATATATTATACCGTTGAGAATACGCTCAGAGCTTCATCTATTTTCAATTATTCAGAATAATTCGGGGAGCGAATCCGTTTTCCGGATATTGAAAACAAACGAAGTATAGTTTTAAATTCATAATAATATAATCAGGTTAATATCTAACTTATTAAGTGATATAACTTGAGAAAGACACATACAAATAGATATTTTTAATTACCATGTAAAAACATCACCGCTTCTAAAATTGCATATTACTTCAACGATGAGATCATTGTCCGTAAATATATCCTCTGCTGTAGAGGGCTGCCATGTTACACTTGTGAGACGCTTTTCAGACACAATATACTGGTTTGATGGACAATTTACAACTGTCGGAGGTATTTTATCTTAAATAAATTAAAGTTTGTCATTCGCTTATGCAAATATCAACACATACAATCAGAATGCAAAAATTCATTTGCGAAATTCAGTAAGACTGGACTGCTTAGAGCACTTACCATAAACACTTGAGCATGACTCGGACTGGCCTGGTAGACATGTCGATGAGACGCAAACACCCGGATAGAGTCCGTGTACGGAGGAATCTTGATAGCCGATCGTTGTGAATTCTTTCCAGTTTATAATCAAACTTTTTTTATCATTTTCACTCTGCGAATGCAGCCAGTGCTGGCAATTATATGCCATATTTCGTATTTCAGCATCACTCATCGCTTTCTTATAAAGCTGTAAATATGCGTAATCATGAAATTATGCATAGTTTTGAAAACATAGAATTGCACAGCTCTTGAAATCGTGCCTAGTCAGTTCGGAGGAAGTTCGAAAGAGTGATTTGCTTGCGAACAATAGGTAAAACGTCCGCAAAATGTGAACCTGGATAAGGCTAAGTTCACCAGTAAATCGCCGTCGACCACTGATTGATTGACCCAGCAAGATGCGTAGTTGAGGGTGCATTTCTCCAATGCTCTCATTGGACGTCGCAACCAGTTGCCCATTTAAGAAAACGTTCATTATACTGCCACGATTTCGACGGACACAAAACTAAAGAAATCGTTTTTTTTTAATTCGAAAAATTTAGCCATAAATGTTCAGTTATTTCATTCATTATCCTTATTAGTTTCGTTGTCATTGCGATGAAAATTAAGTGAATTATAATAATGCACCCACTAACTTGATGCCATACGCCAGTCTTCATTGTGAATTTGATCAGGACGGTATTATTCACCTGAACACCCGAACAACTGATTGAAATTAATGATTGGTTGTGCCTGAAGATGGTTAGAAATGCTTTCGGAACATAAATGCCACCAACGGATAACGTTTTCATCAACATCTACTTTAAGTTCTTGGCATATTCAATTATGCAGCATCACACGATTTTTTTGCCATGGAATAATATCGAATGCGATTTGAATTGCAATCATGCAATCATTGCTTCAACTAACAAAAATCGCCCCTTTTTGTATTCTCTCCATGGATTCTCATCCTTACTGAACGCATTTCTTGTCACTGTCATCTCATGGCCAGATTTATCGTTAATTCCAAAAATTTTCAATAATTTTATCACTAGTTGTCTGCTGATTGTTTCACCTGGCACTCATACAATTTCATACGAGGGACACAGACATATTTTCCTCCTGTCCACCCTGGAACACGCTGTCCAACGAATTTCTCCACTCCTCCTGTACCTTATAAATTTGTCGGGGGAGTGCATAGCTTCCTTCTATACCTCCTTACCCACCTAATGTAGCTGCATTAACTACTGAATTCCATTGCAACGATGAAGAGAGTAGAATATTGAATTGATTAGTCGATTGCGGAAATAAGAGAAGACGGATGCTTTCAAATGATATTCGTTGAAGAAACTATAAAATGTAACGAACGTTTGCTTTGAAAATAATACGATGAATGGTGTACTCATCATTTCAGAGGATTGTTGAATGCGATTCTGTGTACGTGGCTTTACCCATCCGCATAATGAAAATTCATCAAAAATATCACTGCTGTTGAACGGTATTGAAACGACTTTCGCCGAAGGAATTCCTCCAGCAAAATAGAGATTATAACTTTGGGTTTTCTCTGAAATCAAAACGGACAATACAAATTATATAATTCAAATCCAATTAATAATACACGATTGGTTGCACCTTCAAATGGATTCACTTGCTGACAAAATTTGAATGAATACCGATACAAAAATAATCGAATATACCAAAATCACAAAGCAGTCATCAGAATTTTCCAACGATACGAGGTTTGAGATATTTTACAGAAGGGTATCAATATTTATGTATTCCGTTGATGAGAAATTAGACGTGATAATAATAGTCTTAATTCACTTTTCGAATGGGGAGAAATTTATACAATTTTCAGGTAGAGTAACGATGGTAAGGAATGATGATTAATCATCAGTCGGTCATCATCTCTCATGAAGCACATAAAATATTCTCGCGAGAAGCTCAATAAATGCGAATAAAAAGTGCACTAACTTATTTCGCATCTATCGCCAACGAACTCATAAGTACAGCGACAACGTGCAACTATGCCCTCAACGTAGCATGTCGCTCCATTCATACAATAATTCATCGTTGCGTTTATTTTACATGGATTCTATAAACAAACAATTTTTGAACAATTCACCAAGTACACATACGCTCTTCCTTCGTAGGTGCTTATGATGTGGTCAAACAACAAAATATTTTTTAATACGCACAACTTATCAATGAAAATACTTCACAATACTCACAAATTCATTTCATTCACTGTTCATCATCATATAGAATCAAATTGTGTTCACACCAAAAAATTCCAATCAGAGAACTTACAACGCGAACAGAACAGTTCAGTCCTTCATATTCCGCCAGACACTCACAATAATAACCAAGAATGTTGTTTCTGCATATACCATTATTTTGACATGGATTTGGATCACAGTGGTCCAAAATGCTCTCACAATTTTTTCCACCATAACCTGAACACTTGAATGATTTATGGAGAAAAAATCGATGTATGACTGGGGGAGCTAAGGTCACATTTGACGACTGTAGACATTTGTAAATAAGGAGAAGCATAGTGACACCTGGAGGACACGAGCAATCATAACCCCATTGGATATCAGTGCAAGTGCCATAATTGAAACATGGATTTCTCAATGAGCAGAACTCGACTGGTAATTCACAGAAACTTCCTCTTCTATTGAATGGACACAGACATTTGTAAGTATCACCCAGAACGTCGACGCATTCCGACTGCAAAGAGCAGTTGTTATTTACACAAGCATCTACATCCTCTGCACAACGTGGCCCTGCAAAAAGCAAACAACTCATCGAGCATATTTTAAGAACATATTCCATCGAATATATCAAAAACATGTTTACTTCATGAACCCTTTTGGACAGAATCGAATTGCTTTGATACCACAATATACTCAACAATTCAGTACATCATCAGTTACTCCATTCGAATGATACGTTTGTGATTCGATCAGAAATGTTACTATTTGCGCAATGTCCTCTTCAATTGATTTTAAAATGAGATCACAAAAATCAATTACTTCGTGTTTTTTGCAGCTTCTCGTTTCGAACGATTCGAAAACAGCTCACACTACTCGTCGCGAAAGAAAATCTTGAAAAGTTATCTAGCCTTATCTCATCACTGAGATATCAATTTCTGATAAACATAAAATCTACAAACTTTCTACTGGCTGTCTGAACTCCCGCATTATACATGAAGACATCCCAAATAGCTCATGAATTCGCTGGGAAGGCATCAATCTTAAAAGTTTAATGTCATAAAAAAGTTACCTTTCCAACCATGTTTACAGCTGCAGTTGTATTTTCCATCATGACCCATTGAAATAGCAGTACAATGACCCTCTTCAACACATGTGTCATTCATGCAAGGACTGATAGCTTGCTGAAATCGATAAATAGTTTCGGTGGTCACAACTTTGTTCTTTGCAAACTTATAAAAAATGATTTTTGTTCGATTCATTGCTACGTTATGAATGAATGAAATAAAGTGACCTCACAAAAATCGCCTTCATAGTCACTGGGACATGAACAGAAAGGCCCGTTGAAAGTGTCATAACAAGTTCCTCCGTGCTGACAAGGATTTGATCTACAATGTTCAACTGGAGTCGAACAGTCCATGCCATCGAAGCCTTCGCTGCACACACATGAAGCTTTCTTATTTGTAATTTTGCATGAACCATAATTACATTTCGGGGTAGTTGATAAATCATAATTACACGGCGCTGACGTTTGACAATATTCGCCAAATGTCCCTTAAACTCTCAATAATTAAATGGTCATTGATCTTTCGAATCTTACGTACTGTAACAAAGCGGATCAAATAATCAAACAATCTATAACTGAAGTGTTAAAAAAAACTGATTTTTTATAACCAACCATTATTACATTCACAAAAATAATAACTATTTAATTCGTTCGAAAATTGATCGCATTTCCCATCGCCGCATAAGGAATTCTCCATCATATCAGTACAAATGTTAAATTTCATTGAGCAATTACTTCCCGTGTACTCTGGTGGGCATAAACAGGAACCGGTCAGAGTTTTTATGCCATCATTTGTGCAGTTACTTTCTTTGCTTGCCTTCGCTGAAAATAGCATTTAAGAAGAATTATCGCTTCAAGGCTCACTTAAGCATCAGACTACGGTTGGGTCGGAGAACCCCGAGACTAGGTGGCCCCGAGCATTTTCAGAGTTTCGTGGATTATCGAGCGTTTTCGAGGTCTTAAAGGTCCCCAACTATGCCCATCAACCTCGGAGGTCCTGAACTCGAGAGCCCGCAAGCACTCTTTGGCTCCATCAAAAAAATATCACAGCAAAATTCAGTAGCCGGAACCAGAACCGGTACGATAGCTTTTCTCCGGATCCGGACTGTTTAGGAACAGGAGCGGGGCAAAGCAAATTTTGGAACCGAAGCCGAAGTTTAAAAAAAGTGGAGTCGAAGATGGAGCTGGAAACGAAGTTTAGAAAGATCTGGAGACCAATCTAGAGCTGAAGTTGGAGCAAAAGTTTCAAAGAATTTGCCCGGGCCAAAATTTCAGAAAAATGCAAAGACAAAGCTGGAACTAGAGGTAAAAAATACCCAGCTGAAGCTGGAGCCAAAATCGCACAGCCAAGAGTTTTAAAAACGCGCAGCCGGAGTTGGGTCAATTTTTTCACACTAGGCATCACCGGTCATGAGCCAGAGATTACCTGTACCCCAATAGTTTTGATATTCAACTGTCTTAAATCGTTGGAATAGTCTTTACAAATTTGAAAAGTACATCATTGGAATATGCGTTTCTGAGCAAGTGCAGACTTTTCTACATTTCTTAAATGAATGTGTGTTTTTTCGAATATTTCCACAATGAACAAAACTTTTAAATTTTGAAGTTTCGGTAATTTCCGAAAAATTACGAATTTCGGTAGATTCCGAAAATTTTTCGTTTACATACCAAATTTCGGAATTTTAAAAAAATGGATTCGGCCAAATTCTGACCGAACCCATATTTCCTTCGGTTACCATCGCTGCCCCTGAGCCCGATTCCGCCCCCATCAATCTTACATCGTACCAGTCGTCAAAAGTTCTGCTTATAGTCTTCTTTCAGATTATTCACAACAACACTTTATGTACCATTATGCGTCGCATGAACCATTGAAATGTAAGTCAGTTTCAGAATTAATATGCTAAACATAATTTGCTTTCGGACAGGAAAGTTCATTGTGTACTTCACCTTGAAAATGTGGACAGCTGATAGTGGTTTGAGTGATGTGAGGACATGCTGCATTCGCGCAAGATAAAAAATCGCAACTATCCATTGGAATGCAGATTTGTTTTGAATGTGGTGCATTCTTGAAACCATCATTACATTCACAGATATAAGAATGACCCGTGCTGATACAAGCACCTGCAAAGCTTCAATCACACTCCGTCACCAAAACTCAGTTTTTGATCATAAAGTTTCAAGTGTGCCAAAATTCACACTTATTCAATTGCAACTTCTGTGTTCCGATTGCGTCAATCTATTCCATACTGGCCATTAATGCCTAACTTCAATGCTTATAGAGGAATGCAGGAATACTGCCTACCATTAGAGCACAAGCTGATATTGAAACATGGTGAAGTCATTCGATGAGGAAGTTCCGGCGATGTGATATGCTTTTCACATCTTTTACCTGTGAAACCTGAAAAATACTGGCAGTGAAACTCGAAATGACATTTACTAAGTATTCTTTCAATTTATTGGTATCACGAGAACTCGATTTTCGCCCAAAAAACAGTTGAATGTTCGCCCAAAAAACAATTGAAGATGATGAAACAACAAAGATTTCAATGACCGCCAAAAAAAGCGAGATTATAGTATTGAAAAGGAAATAAACGAAACGATACTTGTGGTATTACCATCTTCACAATGACAAGTAGTGGAGTTTCCATCAAAAGAACATCGTCCTTCGTTGAGACAATATTCTGCATGGCAAAGATTCAAAGCAACACCACAATCGTAACCTGCGTATCCATAGTCACATTTGCACTTGCCATCTACACAAACCGACTTCGGATGACATATATCATCACATACAGCTACTGAATAATGAACGTATTCAATTGCTTATGCTTGAACTGGAGTAAAAGTTGAGCTCGATTACTGTTAATGATATTCTTATTCCATTTTTTCGGAATTGTTTCGTCCTGTGCTGTACTGCCTCCATTCTTATTATTCTATTTGTTGCCATTTTTTGAGAATTTTTTAAAGTTCTGTTTTATTCTGCTTTTAGCTCGAGTTCTTTGTTTCAATTCTATTTTGTTTCGGTTACAATCGTGATAAACTAACAGTTCACATCTATCAAGCTGACAGCACATGTGCATACATTTATGCAGAACAAAACCTCCTGTATCCGATGGGCTTAAGAAATGATGGGGTTGTTGAGAGAATTTGAGTGGATATCTAACTTGAACAAATTCATATAAATCGAACAGAAGTGCGCCAAATCATATTCCATTTCCTCAGTAAAGACAAGCATTCATATTGTTTTCAGGAAATTCGAGTTTCGTTCTAAATTATGACCACAATATTGAATGGATGCCTGCGAAAAATTGAGCTCCAGCTTGAGCGGAAGCATCAAGTTACTTAACTCTGTTTCTCTGGAACTAAGTGTGATCATTGTCCACGGAGCATATTACTAATTCCCTTTAATCTCAGAACCTTTCCGGGCTGATGAACATAAAAATGTAATCAGCGTATTCTAAGCAAAGCGCAGGAATCGTCTGATATATGCGTGTATGATGTGGAAATTTGGAAGTAATAATTTTCGAAACATTCCCTGTTCTGAACTCTTCTGTTGCCATTTTTTTCGCCCGCCAATTATACTGTGCTGTCACCTTGACTTATTTCGTTTTTTTTCTGTTTGGCAGAACAGAACAGTATTTGATGGAACAGTAGTTAGTGATCACAAATAACTGAGAAGTTGAAAGCATAAGTAGTTTGAATTAATCGAATTGCAAGAGCATTATTTACTTCGGCATTGATGAATGGAAGTCGCGTTTTGATGAAACGTCGTAGTGCCTTCAGGACAGCGATCACACGTCCATTGAGCGGTCTTTGATTGATAAAATCCAAATGGACATGCTATACATGGTTGTAATCCATTCTGACTGAACCATCCAGGCATGCATTCCTCTGAAAATTACTTCAAAATGTTAATAACATAAAACCTAGAGAGGAGAGTTGTAATTAACATGACAGTTATATCTGAGACAGTGAACTTATCGTTGAACAACATATCGGAGAGTAACCTAATGAAAATCAAAATCAAGAAGTAATTGGCTGAGCTGAACCTGCACAATCGGTTTCAGAAGATGCGCCAGGCAAAGCTGTTGTAGAACCCGGTCTACAATGGAGACACTCTTTCGAGGCATTATTCGACTGAAAGAAACCTTTTGGACAAGCTCGACATGGTGTTAGTCCGGTTTCCGAATAGTAGCCAGACGGGCAGCGCTCTTGAAATCAAAAGATTCATAGTGAAGGAAAGCCAATTTGAGGAATTTGAAAGAGAAAGCAAATGGAATCACCTTACGCTTTGTATATAACATATACTCTTGATCAACGTTATACAGTTAACAACTGGCAACCGATGGATCAATTAAAATGGAAGCGTTAACTTCAACTTATTCATATGTTCAGATTGTGTCAATAAATCTGTGGTTCAGTTGTCTCTAGTAAACTTTACAGATTCTCAGAATGTATGTGTATTTCGATGCAACATTCGAATTCTTCATCTGTTTCATATGAATGCTTTATTATATGATGCATTACGGAGATGCAAAATTAACATCTTGGTCCACATAATCTACAGAAAACTGCTAAAAATGAGAAAGTATGAGTCTGAAAGAAATGCTGGAAGCGGAACAGACATTTTCAAAACAGGAACTAACCATAACATAGTTTAATAGAAAATGAGCCTAAATTAGATGTACTTGATCCTGGTGGACATTGCTGGCATTGTTTCAAGCCCTCTCTATCTGAATATGTACCAATTGGGCATGGAAGGCAACCAGTCGCAGATGAGTAGAAGCCAGATGGACAATGTTCTGAAAATGCTCGGTAATTTTTCATTCGAAGGATGTTCAGAACTAATCATCGAATCCAATCATAGATCACTAATCACGGAATATTTTCGAAGCAAATACAATCGAAGATCAATGAGGTCACTGAAGATGCAGATGAACAGCAATCATAATAATTTGGATTATAACTGCAAGTACCTTCACCATAGGAGACCGAATAATTGATGAATCGCGAGTGTATCTGTAATCCTTCACAAATATCCTGTAAATATTCAGTATTAATAAAAAGCTACCCACAGAATTCATCCCCTCAGAAAACAGTACACTGAACAATGGTGCATGATTGTTTACTTACCGTAATTGTCGTTAAATCTTCTTCGATGCTTTGCACAAACTTCCGCGCACAACGCTCGCCATTTCCAACATTGATATTATGACTGATGAAATCAATCGTAAGGATGGTATGATTGGTAAGGTATTCACTGCGTTGCCAGGTATTATTTGCACAAATTTGCTTTGTTATATTCATCAACTTCGCATAGATCTTAAAAGATGAACATTTTTTGAAATGACCGATCAGTTCAGGTGTTAGCAGTGGTTAAATTATGTTTTGAGTGTTACTAATATTATGCTTACTTATTATGGGTAGTTATGACCTGCACCATACTCTTGCTGAGCTCATCTATTAGCACAGGAAAAGAACAGAATCTGAACAAGTCATCTTTCGCAGGGAGACAGATTAGTGACTATAAGCTGGACTGATGGCATTCTATAAAATGACCAACCTCATTCGTAAGCAATGCTACGCAAATATTTCTGTTAGATACCAGTTCCATTTTCATGCTCACTGCTATAGCTGGCCTAGTTCCTGCTGAAAGGTATTTTGAATTAAGGAGCCATGCAAATGAACCGCTAATGTAATTGCATTTGAGGATATTATCATTGCAGTGAAAATAGCACATCTTGAGAGATAACAATGAAAAATATTCATCTGGAAATTAAAGTAACCTTATTCAACTGCAATCCTTCATTCTTTGATGATACATAGCAGAAGTAACGTCTTCAGAATGTCAAGCAATGAATTCAAAACGTAATGCATATTTTACAAGCCATAACGAGAATAACTTACAAATACATACTGGTGAACGGATCATTTGTGACGAGGAATAAGAAAAGGCATAAGACCATCCAGCACCCAATGCACAGGTCAGTGCTTTAATTCCTGATGGGTATTCGTTGTCGCAGTCATTGATTCGTTTGCAGGTACGTTCATTCAATGAACCACTGCATTGGTATTCTGTTTCATTCACTGGCCATAAGGGACAATCGCTCACTGAATTATACAAAACGATTATGTGATCATATTGTATCGTATAATCAAGTTATCCTTTTTGTTCAACACTTTCTATAGATAATATTAAACTATAAGATGATGTCTTATCACATGCGATGCGACTAAAAGTATTTCGTTTAATTCACATCAAATGCTCATGCATGATATTTCGGTTAATGAATTTTGACGTGCCAGCATTGAAAACGCACTGTGAATGTATCTAACTGTAAGAATTCATTGAAAATCATCACGATTTACCTCTTGCAACATACCAGAATTTGCATTTGGCAATATTACCGTGCTGATCCACCGCAGTCACCGTCACACGAATGGGTTCATTTATTTGCACTGAGCTTCCATTGAACGGTTCATACATCAAATGCACATCTGATGCATCAACCCAGTCAACCATCGGTAATCGCGCTAGAACAGTGGACGATGTTGTGTTCGACATGTAGTCCTCATATAACTCTGGGCATATCAGCATGGGTGGCCAACGATCTACAAGTGACATTATTCAGTTGGGTGATGTAGGTGATTATTCATGTCTTAGAAAACAGTGAATGTGGAAATGCCGAATTGGACGTTACTGTTCTGTTAATTCACTCGAAAACCACATGTGGAATCGTTATTCGGAGGAAGTGTCTACTTCATACAATAATAATGCAGTGATGGGGAATGCTCACTTCTTTCTTCAGCTAATGCTCGAATGAAGTTGACGGTATGTCTCATATGATGATTTGACCGAAAAAAATAAATAACCGAATTTCGAACCTTCGTATATTAGACGGGTTGTGCAAGTTTGTGAATTCTGATGACGATCAGTTATGTTCCAAACGATTTCTTTCATATCACTATCAACAGAATATGGTTTTGAACCGAGCAAAGGAACGTTACTCGTCACCGTATAATAGGGATCGTTATCGTAAACAATCGGAAATGGGATCAACACCGGAGATACAAATGTATTGGTATATCTGGAATTTATTCTTTGTCACAGATCTATTTCATAAATTTGAAAACGCTGTAGGCAGTGATGATAATAAATCGAATCGTATCATAAAAATTATCGTGTAATCATGAACAGATCGGATCAGTGTCCGGTGTATGATGAAACTGAATATTACTTTGGGATGCTCAACTGGCGAATGCACTGCACACTCATCGGTTTTGCATCAACACAGATAGGTGTGTCACCTTTCAGTTGAAGAAACTGACGAGGATATGGTAATTGATTACAATAATCCGTGGTACAGCACAAATGACATGATTGTTCTCCATGAATACATTGATCCAAATCGATCACTGAGCCTCGACAATCATCCGAACAACCTTTTGTTACTTTCAATACGCCATTAGAGTGTAATGACGCATCAGTGAAGCAACTCTGTCCAACATCACAATGTATTGCTGATGTTGCATCACAGATTGAATCAGCTGAGCAATTATAGCAGATCGGTCCTGTCATAGAGATTATTATGTGTTAAAAGTGTTTTATTGAATTCAGATTCATTATATTTGTGTTTAACGATATCAGCTGTTTCAAGACATTATATCATAGTTATATCTATATAATGAATATATTTCATTATATCTATATAATGAAAATGCATTCTTCGTTGCACAATGAAGAAAAACAGTATGAAAGGTTTTCAATGAAATACGACAAATTCCTATTCGTTTCCGCTGTATCATTCTATCTGTATCATTCTATGAAGCGACTGTATGGACGATTGCTACAAAGATGAAATAATGACCTCGCGGTACACATTTGTTATGGTAAGTTGAATGCAAGTCTTTGCAGACGCATGTCGAAACAAGTTGCTGTGAAGAGAACCATTTTCCTCGGGAAGAGCATGAGAGCGTTGGTTGCGAGCCTTCATAAGTAGACGCATCTCTAACACACTTACCTGCAATCTCAATCAAATTCTGCTGCGCCACCGTTTCCGGAAACTCGACAAGCCCAATCTTGATCTGGAACAATCATTTTTCAACTCGATCCCTCCAAACAAACCAATAATCTATAAATCAAACTTCTTGTGCTCACTACCTCGATTAAATGGTACTCGCACAATTCGCCTGAAGACGTTTTGCCTATAAGGACAGTTTGCCTAAAGCACAGTTTTTTATCGGATATTTTGCCTAATAGGCAAACTGTTTTTAGGCAAACTGTCCTTAGGCAAAACGTTTTTAGGCAAATTGTTTTTAGGCAACGGATTAGTAAATAGATCAAAATGAATAGTGCTAACAATAAGCATACGCAATTAATACATTTTAAATATGAAGTATTGCTCGTTAAGTCGAATGAATTGGCAGTTTGAGAAATAAGGAAATTGTAAAGTAAGATAATGATTGATTACCGGCGGACATTTAATAAGGTAGATATTAACCGAGTAGAGGTAAGCAAGTGGTGAATTGCTTTCAATAGCGAATGCAACGAAACCGAAATTTGATCGCATACGAAAAGAAGTGTCGTTTGCGAACAACTCGGCAATCGTCACAAATTTTGCTATATCGTTCTCTGAGGTGGTGTCGCCGTGGAGAAGTTTTAGATGAAGCGTGCAGCTGACGCATTTTTTAATTTTGTATTTCACCACTATCGTCGACCATTGAGGAGCTTCTTCGAATAACTTTCCGATCAGATAGCTGTAAGAAAGACGCATTTTTATTACGATTGTAGATTTGTTTTAGTGTTTTATATTGAGTGATCTTATTTGCTTGTTCAGGGATCAGATGAAAACACATCATTGGAGCCAATATGAATTACATCATTTATATCATTTTCTTGTAATCTCTATTAGTTTTTTTAGTGAGTATGTCTTGTTTTCAAAGAAGATTTGACTTTAAGATCATAGATGGATGGATATTATAGCTTTGTTGCGAGAAACTTGAAAATCACTTTTGTCCGGCTTGGTAACGATACGTCCACGTTCCATCGAAACTTCGTTCCCACTAAAACTTTGTTCTCCATTAAAACGTTATGAAATTGATTCAGCAAGCACGAAATCAATTACAAAAACGGTAATACATCACTGAACTTACATCATCTGATGAGTTCCAAGTTGCTCGACTCAACTCATTCCCGAATAAGTTATCTGAAAAAATCAGTTAAGTATTTCCCACTTGATGCAAGTATACGATTAGTTAGTAATTAATGCTCATAACACTTTGTGATGGTGATTTTTTTTGCTGATATTCTCTAGTCGATTCCAAATCAGTCTTCTCACTTAACTTCAATTATGTGATTCATTATTGAAGCGATAAACATGTCCGATACCATTAGACAGTAATAAATGATGATAAAAGAAAACGTTTGAAATCAATACAGATCTGGAATCGATAGAAAACCTAGTCGATGAAATGATTTTTCACATTCCGTTACGTGCTATTATTGATCTTATTCGTTATTTCTGAGTCCACGTAAAAAATATTTCCATAGTGAAAATCGCTGATTATCAACACCTATTCACCTTTGATTGGTTCTGCTGAGTTCATTGTATCCATCCAACTTTTCGTATCTTCTCTCAGGGAATGCACAAAAAAGTCTGTTGATTTTTGGTCAATTATTTTTCCATTAGAAGATACCACACATTGATAAGAATCTTGATGAAAACGCTACAAGAGCAAGAATATTATCTTTTTTTTCAGTCTGGTGATTTATATGTACGATTCAAAATCGTTTCCGAAGGTAACTGATTACAAAAGGCAACAAAATTATTCAGTCGCTGAACACAATCGCTCATTCATCAGCTTTTAAGGCATTTTACAGTTTATGACATTTGAATTGGAATCTGCAATGTTTATTGGAGCTTTTGTGACATTAAAAATGACTGAGAAAGCAATATTGATGCAATCACCTCCGATTTCTCAAAAAATACAGCATACTTGAAAATTCCCCGTTTGACGGTCACCAGTTCGTCGTGAACTGATTTAGACCGTCGCCAGGAAACCTGTAAACATTCAAAAATATTGTCAATAGGTGAATGTTACAGAATAAACACTTAAAAGTAAAGATTACTGCATACCGTATAATTAGCACATCGTTCATTCACAACGCACCAAAGCACTGCAGATTCACCAATTGATGCGTATGTTTCTGGGCTGATGTGACTGAAGCAATTATCATAGGTTTCAATCATTCTCAAACTAGATGATGTATTATTCACAGCGCACGTTGTTGACGATGTACCTTTAATAAACTCAAATCACTTATTCACTAGCGAATGAAGATATCGGTAAAATTTAATGATTTAATCCATCCTCAAGTACCATTTAGAAGGTGCGAAAATTGATCAAAAATGAAAATGCCTATTGCATAAGACAAAACTGCTTTCAGAAAGTACTACTATTTTCCACTATTGGGGCAGCAAGAATTGTTCAACAAAATAAGACATTGGAAATCATCATGTAAACACAATGAATGTTCACATTAGAAGAATGTTCACTTCTAGACCGCAATGATTCACCACAAAGAATAACTCATACGCTAACGGTTACCGGCTAAATAATAATCGCTTTGTTGACAGTTGAAGGATGTGGATTCACCACTGAGCAGTACTTTTTTAAGTGGAACGAGCTGCTCGGATTCATTGACCAGACATGTTTTTGCTGTAAAATGTGCTGATTTTCTGAATACCTCAATAAGACTGTATTAATAAAAGGATTTGCAGACACATAGCAGTATAAAAATAACGAATATGCTCACGAATGCACCGCGGAATGCTTGTTCTGCTCCATTCGTAATTTTCATTACATTTTATCGTGATGTTTTGCTCACCATTTTCAAAGTGATAACCGTTCTTGCATATCAGCAATGCACTAAAAATGATAATAAAAGTAAACGTTTCTGGACTAACGTAACTGAGGCAATTATCATTGCTTCGAATCATTCTCAAAATGATAATGTAAATAAATCAGTTATACAGTCAATAAAAGAATCACGTCAGTAGAATGAAAGAGCTCAGCGAAGGCAACAAGCCAGCCAACAAAACTTACTCAGAAATTTTAATTCGACACAATAAGGACCAGAAGTTGTGATGAAAAATTAACATTTGTTTTCTGGTATTTTTTTTAATGAAAACGAAGTGCCGTTTGAACTAATAAAAACTGAAGTGGATCATAATTTGTGATACATGCTCAGTCACTGCGAACTGCTACTCATTTATCTTGCAAATTGCAAATTTCGCATTGATAAGTGTTCTCGTTAATGGCTTTACATCACTTCTTCTGTTATTTGACTGATGTAAGCTACGAATCCTATTCCCGACAAAAATTTCTGCCGATCCTGTCGGTAATCAGATTCACGATATTTTCTACAGGTCTTAACAAGCAAACTTATTCAAAAGTTTTAGTGATGCAGGATGTGCAATTTTCAGCAAGATAAGATATAGATGCCGAACGAACCGATATCCAGGAACATTCGAAGGCATGTTATGGTGGTGTTCAGCGACGAAAATTGTACCGCTAAAAGCGATATCTGAGCATCGTTGTACTAAAAGTATGATGAAATAACGATTATGATGCTACAAAAGTATTTCATAATGCTAGTTTTTCATAAGTAAGTATGATAGATTTTCAACTTTTTCATAGGTTTTTCATAAGTATTTCATAAGTATGAAACAAGCATTTCAATTTTAGACGAATATTGGATGTGATGGATGCGAAATGCAACATAAACATGTCATTCACGTCAAAAACTGTTTTGTTCTGAAAGTTTGCAAGTGTCACAGAGTGCAGCTTTAGATCATATGAGGAATTACAGCAATAAATTCAAAAAAGTTTACTCGCACAGACGGGTAATGTTTTAATTGACCAGACATTATTCGTTTGACATATTGTATGAGTTGGTCCAATTAATCGATACGGCGTTTGACAAGAAAAGTTTACGACGTCGTTGTGGATATAAAATGTACGATTTGGTTCAATGTTCAATTGACTTGATGCTGTGAAAGACCACAAACAAAGATTTGCTGTAATCATTTTCGTAATTATAAATGATTCTCGGAGTTTAGAATTTTCACAGTGTGTTGTATGCATGTTTATCACAACTGGTTGCTTTGATAGAAGATGCTAATTCAATATTCTTCAAGTGTTAGATTGCTTTGGTAGTTTTCATGAAAATCTGTGATGAAACGAAGTGGAGCGACTGAACAGGTCAAATGACAGAACGATACATGTAGTGGTTCTAAGACGACTATTTCTTGGACAGCTACCATACCCCGTCTCACCGGACAGCTGCCTCCGGATAATTACTCTCGGCAATTTGTCGCAGAGTTATTACGATAAAGAAGTCCTCTTCATGGTTAGCCACAATCTTACCTGAGGCTCGACCGCGGCTTCGACATGAACCTCAATCTCAACCTGATTTTAAGATTAAGCCAGAGTTTAAATGTATTAATAATAAGAATATAAGACAACAATAATGGTGGTAATAATGATCGTGAAAATGATAGTAATACTCGAAGGAACTTATGTTTACGAATAGTGATGCCTCTGTTCCAGTCAAACTGTTCTAGTCCAGGAACAAAACAGTTCCAAGCAAGCAAAAGAACGTAGCAGAACAGTTTGAACTTTTCGGGCAAGAGAACAGAACAACTATCAAAGAAGAGAAGTGCAGAACAAAACGGAACAGCTGAAGTGCGGAAGAGAAAGAACTGATTGTCGAAAGTGTGAAAGAGGAAAATCACTGTTTACAAAGATGAATATCGTGAAGGTAAGTTGTCGAGAAGCAGTTGTTAAGAGGGCATTTATGCGGAGACAGTTGTCTCCGAGAGCAATTATCCGGAGACAGTTATGAGAGGCAATTGTTTGGAAGCACGGGGATACTCATCATATGTAGATAGTCAATGTGTAAAGCAGTGAGAAATGACAAACTTTGACACCGATTGGTTTGCTGCCAGCTTCCATCAGATGAACACCTTAAAGTTGTGAATGATACAGGATTTCCAGAATTATTACATTGAAATGTCAGACTGAAACCGATAGGATATAGTCCATTCGCAACAATTATTTTGTCGGCCCAGTATGGATATTTGTAAGCATTTTCGGGCACATTGGGCGTCGGACATCTTTTCACTGCAATTCAGTTGGAGAAAACGTATTTCAATCAGTTGCACCACAAATATTTTGCTGATTACAATTAACAGTCAATGGTATTTTCAAGCAAACTCTAACGCTTTTTGCTGGCATAACTGACTGAAAAGTGATGAAGGGAAAATACTAAATCGAGAGATAAAAAGCACTTACAGATGCATGAATGATTCTTTATCAAAAATTTTGTGTTGAAGGTAAGATTAACACGCTGATTCACATCATTCGAACCATATAGCCAATAGCCTTCACGACACTTACAATAGTATGAACCAGGTGTATTGATGCACGTTTGATCGCATAATGAGTACCCAGCAGTATTGCATTCATCAATATCTGGATCAATCAGAAATAATTATTTTTTTACTCATTGCTGTATGATATTCTGCATTTTATTATGTGGAATATTTAACGAATTAAACTGGTTTCGTTTTTACTTCTAAATGTATATCACGTGATAATTGTAATAACTTTTTTAAATTGTTCTATTTTCTATTCCTCTGTGATGACATTCATCACTCAGTCACATCATTGACAGTTTTCAATAAACAGTTTCCGAACCTTCACAAGTGCTATAGCCATTACGAGAAACAATTTGGTATCCATTTTCACATTTACACGTATAGTTGCCAAATAACTGAACACATGAACCATGGCCACACGGATTTGATTTGCAAAATGATTCATCTTGAAAAGATGGGTTTTTTAATGCATTAATAAAGTGGATTCTACTTCCATTTAGTAGAGCATAAATACATATGGATTCATTTTTGAGATATTCTGGGTGAAGGAATATTGATTTACATTTAAAATCAATTCATTTTACATAAATGAGTGAAATGGTGAGTAGTTGTATATCAAACTGACTCTGACAAAGCGATTCATTGTGGCTTAAAGATCCATTAATGCATAGTGGTGGAGAACGTTTAGGAATAAATCCATTAACACATGAGTAATTTGCGATGGAACCATTGGCGAAGAATGGTTGGTTATATTTACCAAACATGATTGATGTTGCGTAGCATCCAGTAGCTGCAAGATTGTTTTAGCAATACGGAAGAATTAGATGTTTTAACATTTTACTCAAAATTTCAGGTTCATTTTCAACTTTTGACATTTGCCTGATGCTATCAAAAAAGTTATTTGCAGAGATGGGCACGCTATCGCTGATCCGCTGAACTGAAAACTTTTATTTCCGCTAAAAAATTCGCTATCGCTAATATCACCAAAACAACAGCGAAGCGCTATCGCTCATCCGCTAACTGAACAAAATTAGTTCGCTATTCGCCACCGCTATCGCTACTTTGAAATCTTTTCTCAAAATTTACAATTGCACCATTTATTTGTATGGGAAAAATCTCATGACGACATTAAACAGCTAAAAATTCTTATCGAATCACTCAACAACAGAGAGTCATTCCAACAGCAAGCGCCAGTCAATAATACAATAAACTCCGACCATGAAAAAATAACCAAACGACGACAGCAAAATTCAAAGATGAAAAACAGTCAATTGGCAACAGCTTACGCTATACTTTCTCATCCTCCTTTAAGAATATTAGCATGCTGAGCATTTCGTCTGAAATTCTGAACTGTTTGGATCTTATCGCATCGCATCGCCTAACTCAGTCTTGAGATGAAAATCAGCGGTTATCACACCTATACGTTGAAAAGATTGTGAAATGAATCCAAAAAGTTTTGAGAAAATAACCACAGCCAAACTGACAAACCGTTCTACAATGAAATGAGCTGTTTTCCAGTTACCAATGTGCTTTTCTAGGTAGAAGATCAATTACCGCAGTTCCATTTTGATCCTAACAAAATTGTGCCTCTCATTTAGACCACAGAGGCTATACTGACCCTACACATCTCGATTCTGAAGAAGCGCCTGATTCCGTATCCATACCGAAATTAAACTTAAAATTACAAGCATACAGCATACGAGGTCGCTTGGCCAATTGAATCCCAGATTTTCTTATGAACCGTTTTCAATCAGTCCAAATTACTGATTCATCCAACTCTTCAGATTACATCAGCAGTGGTGTTCTTCAATGTTCTTTTCAATTTCCTATTCTAACTAAAAAGTGCCTTTTTCCAAACTCAATATGCCTCATGTTTGTGGATGATGTTAAGGTCTTCACGTTCTCCAGCAACTAATAAACTGTATTTAATTTCACAGAGCAGATGCCATTAAATTGGCTTTTACTGATAGCTTCAGTATGAACGAAATTGATTAGAATTAGATAGAACAATCCTAGTAACCCCTCAGCTATTTAAACACGATAGCGCGCTATTGCCCATCTCTGGTTATTTGTGTCGTTCGTATTTTAGGATAAATTTTCGGTGGAACTGGTAGAATAAGAATGGCAACAACTGAAATTATCTCCCTTCTCAAATTATTAGCGTGCAGATCTAACAATTAAAAAAACATCTTTCATTCTTATATAATCCAAACGAATAAGCACCTTGGCAACCAAAGTTTGGAACACTCCACTTTCCAGTTGCTTGGCAGATTCGATATGGCGCACTAGTGCCAATCAGATGCATTCCTTGAGGACATGAGTAATGAGTTCGACTGAACAATGCTGTGCCTCGGGAAGTTCGATTGACGATGGCATTGTTGTAAGTGGATTCAGGATCACCGCAATCAATTGCTAAAGATCTATCAGCATCATTTATCCGATTCATATCGTTATTAGTTGAGTCAATTGGATGTTCTCTGAAGGGCCTAGAGAAATAAGATCTTAGTGAGTGATCCTGAACAAGTTTGACTTTGGATTATAGAATGAGTTAATGAAAACAATCATTTTAGAATGATTATTATGGCACTCAATTATTTTAATTTTACGTTGACACAACGGTTGAGGATTCCACATTGCATTCGCTTCGCATAACGACTGTTTAACGGATGAAGCATTATAACCGAGTTGACAGCCATATTCTAACGAACTGTTCAATTGAAATCCAGTGATGTTTAGTAGATAACCGTTTTCAATAAATGGCATTGGACAAAAGGTGGCTGCAATGGAAATTATGTTTCGATCACAATCGAGTTCCATGTGATGAAATAAATTGATCAGCAAAATTTACAAGTTCAAGCGACTACTAAAAAAGAAGGCTGATTACGAGTAAATTTGTAAACATGAACCTTGACAGGTAGGAGTCTTTGCAGACCATTTACCACCTTTCTTACACTGAAGCGACTCTTCACCGATTAGAACAAATCCAGATTTACATGACAGTTGTGCCAGAGAGTTATATTCATTTGAATGCGAATACATTACAAGTACGTTTGGGTCAAGATTCAACGGCGGGCAATCTTCAAGAATAATCTGACAATATTGAACCTCTAAGGCAACTGATTACTGAGAGAAAGTCATTTGAAACGAATCGGTATTCCATGGAATGCCGATTCGTTGCATCTTATAATTATCATTACCAAATTGCATGACTTTTAGAAAACATTTCAATTTATGCTCACACTTGAATTTTAGTTACAATGAGAACGTGTTAATATTACATACCTTTCGAATAGCTCAATGCAACAACCAGATCAGCTGAATTGCTGTGGATATCCAAGATAACTCTCGAAGAAATCGCTCGAAGTCTTGTTGGTGGTAAATTATTCGCTGAGATAGCTCTCAACTTTGAACCAGCTTGTATCTAAACTTGAATCAAATNTGATGCTCATAATCAATTGCTCCGTTAGAAAAATCACTCCGCGATCATGATAGACATTAATCAGTCAAGAGATCAACAATTTTCTCATGCACACTTTCTTGGGAATGATTCAATCTTATTCAGCATATGCTAACATTCAACTTTCATTTGGCTCAACAGTTCATTCGAATGCAACACTTCGAATTTTGTTCACGATTTTTACCGTTATTGCATCATTTTCTGTCATTTTCAGTTTATGGAAGTAAATCGAGAACGCACAGTCTTCATGTCGTTTACACGGTATCTGAAATTTTCGAAAATTCTCTCACTGTTGTTAATTCAAAGTATTCTTGGTAAATAATATGAATGGGGACATGACTGAAGCAAAAATAGTGTTTTATTTCGCAACAATGAAGGTAATCGTGAAGGTTATCAAAATATTCGGCTGAGGAATGCATCCAGTACTCATGTGATCACCCAGTGATATCAATGATGCTTTTTATTGCGTTATTGCACAATAAAAGAACCGATTAACCTACCTCAATGGTCCATGAGCAATGAAAGGGACGTCGATTTGAAGCTAACCTAGCACCAGGTGTTTCCAAATCCCCATTATTACTTAGCAATTTTTCATTCAAACAGCCTGAAAGTAGTTAAGCTATCAATGTTGCTGTGGTAGCCACTGAATGGAATGACTAATATGATGATGCTTTGAACATCAACTCGTTCAAAAAAATTTTATGATGACCATCACGTCTGGAATTTCATATGTGAGCTATGAAAAGGAAGATTAGAAGTACCTTGTCTGAAATGAATCTCGAAACCGCGCGATCCAACGCTGTGTGGTTGTGAAGTGAAAAGAAAATGCAGTTGCGATGAAGATGAAACGGTTGACATTGGTGGAGGATTTTTGTTCACGAATACACCTAATAAATTGCGTTCTTCTAGGTTACCATCAAAGATTTTGAGGCTATCGTTATTTGCCAATGAAAAGTATGGAATCTGTAAGCAAAACCTGCATCAATAGCAAAAAAGCACAGCTAATTGCCATTTCAATTCATTTATTCAACTTCTTCAAATTATGAGACATCTTCAAATTATGAAACATTGAATGAAACATTGACTGTCCAAACCTGTATTGATATCAGATTGTTATGTTCACTGATAATTGTCCAATGGCAATTCAAATTTGGTGCGTAGAATTTATCATTTGAATCAGTTTTCGGGATAACTATTGTACCATTTGAAGTTCTTAATGTCTCAACACAGTTAGGCACTGCTGCAGAAATTATCAATTATTATTCAGAAAGTATCGTGATAAGATGCACATGGATTCAAAAAATACGACTTCAGCAGAAACAAAAACGCAATGCAATCAGAAGTGGACGAAAATTACGGAAGGGATTATGAAAAATATGTGAAATTGTATTGACCACCAGCAAAATCAATTGTAATTGTAAATTAAATTAATTAATTGAATTCTTATTTTCACATTGGTTATCACCAAGCTCATGATAAATAAGATTTTGAGGTTGTTTATTTGAGTGCAACACAATTATTACAAGAAAGTAGTAAGTGCAATGTGCATAATCGTGCGATTTGAATAAGAACCTTGAACGGAATAACGAAAATGAAAGCCTTTAGGTGGAGAAAGATCACTGTTCGATGCACTTTTGAAGGCGATAACGAGCGTGTTATTGTCAGATATCCACTGTTGAAAATTACTTGCTGAAGACGGCAATAAACGATCCCATTCAGGCTCAGAACTGTTCGATACTCCACCGACCGATAACACATCGTGCTCGTTAATGTTCAGCTCACTCATCTCAATACAAAACTCATTTCTACCTTTTCATATTAAACTTTTACTTGAATACGCATCACACAGTCAATAATCGGTTTTATACGTGCGTCAGTGTAATGCAAACCTACAGTGAGTTTGATGCGTGCATCTTGCTTCTGTTGAATCTTCCACCGGCATTCACTGCCTGGTCGGTAATTATCTGGCAAAAAGATTTCTCCTTGTGGTGCTTCTAGAAGGATATCTTGACACGCAACCCGAGTCTTGCAGACTGTGTTCGGATCCTCATCAGAATTATCCATGCAATCCTGAATTCCATCACAGCGCGCTTCTATCGGGTAGCATCGACTGTTATCATTACACCGATATTCCCTCCCTAAAATTGTTGAAATGCGTTCACTTGAAATGATCGAGAAATAGAAGAATCTAATCTCCCAGTGTATGGTGGGTAAGATATATTCTATTTTTGCAATAAATCGTACGGTAAGGTTTGATTATCTCGTACACGAATTATGCGATGAATTTGAATAGTAGAAGGCTGGCATAACAGGGTAATAGAAGGCGATTCATGTACAGGTATGAGTATGCGAAACAACTCATGGATATTATTCAGATCCCTAATACTTCTGAGAAAACTTTAGAAATCAGCTGAGATGGACTGATTTGCTTGAATTCATTCATCTCTGATTGAGGGGGACGTTTTCGTGAAACCGATTATCAGTTAGATTGTATCTTATGTTTTTGGTCTGTCTGATTAGAAAGAATGACAGGTTGATCACAGTTGACGAATGCAGCAGTTTGCATCATCGAATTCACCTTCTAAACAAGCGAATGTTTGGCAGATAGTCGGTAGTCGTTGCGAGCAATTCCTCAAAAACCATCCATAGATGAGATCGTTACTGAAGTCTGCGGTAAGTGACAAACAGTGAAATGATTGATTGAATTGTAAATGTGGCTGCAATCGATAATGTTCATCAGAAAGTCAAAAAAAATGATTTGAATGAATGTAATCGGAAGGAGCAAGCATTTTTAAAGGGCCTGATGAAATGTGATCATAGACAATGCGTGATTTGGAACTATTAACAATTTGTGCCCATTGAAATACTCTCCTTCAGTTTGAAATGATACTGCACATTTGAAATACAATAACAAACCTGAGTGCTTGCCCAAAGTGGATTGTAGATGGAAATTGGATCGGGATCAACAGCTGAATTTAAGGAAGTGGTACTGCAAAAAGCATCAGGTGTTTGTTGATAGTAGAGAGCCGTCCAATAGGTGCCATTACTTTCGAGTATTGATCTACTCAAATCTCTTGTCAGAAACCAATTATGCATCACGATCGCATGACTGTTATTATAACTGTAAGATGCAATCGAATATCGATAATGTAAACGACTATTGCTTGCAAAATGAGCATGACTTAAATTACTCATCGAATTCATATTGGCTAGTACCGCAGTGAATGCAAAAACCATCAGAGTAGAGCACAAAGAAAGGAGTAGATCATTGTGCAATTTAAAGTCATGCTGTATTTTCTACGACTTGTCACTCTATAGAAGCTGGCAATATCTTTATCAGTATTGATGCACTCAAAAGTTTGGTAGCTTATCAAGAGCATTCCATTGATAATTAATGAATTGATTCAAATATGAAAGACAACCGTTCAGAAGCACACAGAATATTGGATTCGTTCCACGGCAGCCACTCCGAGGTCAATTTGTAACAAGAATCACGCAGCTGAGTCCATCCTACATAGCTTCAGATTGTTAAGAAATCATGTAAAAAGAATGATTAATTGTCCACCAAAATCAGTTTCATTTCCCAGATAAGTATTTGCTCATTTGCACTCATTATCTTTGAAGATATATTGAATTCACATAAAACTGCACGTATATCTCAATAAATTTTATGTTTCTAATCGAAATAAATGATTTGATACTTATTAATAAAATTCGGTCAATTTTAAATGATCCATTTTAAAGACTATTTTTATGGAGTTGGAGCAATGAATTTCGCTAGTCTGATAAAATGCTTCAATTGACAGGCAGATCGAAAATAAACATGTTTTTTGATAGTTTCAAAATTGCTCAATCGTGTAAAATCTCGAGAAAAGTATTGCTGGCCAAACCTGGCATACAACTGAATGCGACATTGCCAAAAGAATAATCATACTCGAAACTTTGTATGAATGCATTTGAGAAGGTGCAGCTGATTATTAATAACCATAGAAATTTCATGTAAATGAAAGTTGTGAATAATGGTTTAATGAAACAATAATTATTCAATTGACGTCGAATAAGTTCAATCGAACAGAAACAGAACACAATGTTGACTAATGCTTAACACATAAGCATACAAACCAGCATCAACTATCAACATCCATAAGCAATTATCAGTGACGAACACAAAAATAAACAAGCAATCACCGCTACGTGTGCAAGTACTATCTACCTTAATACTTCTATCATGCAGCTACCTACATACTACATCAATTATCAATCACCTTAAATAAACTCGTTTTCTGATTGATCTGTTCTTTTCACTCATTCATTCTCAGCCGTCTGTAACAGTCATCATCCATCCTCTTCATAACTCTGCAATCATTATTTCCCAGTTGTTCCTCTTTCTAAACCCACTGAATATATTCAGAATTGGTGAGACTTCTTGTCTTGTTCGAGCTGCTCAATGCCCGTCAGCACTTAACACATAAAATGATCATTCGTTGGATACCTTTGTGAGTTTATTTCCCTTCTCGTTTACTAATCGCATTTTGGAATTATTTCATAAAACGTTGTTCACAAGCAGAATAAAGTATAATATTTAACATTTGAATGTACTATAGAATGAATGGTCATTCAGCAAAAAATTATCAGATATGTATTGCTTTTATTTATGGAAAATGTTCTTGAACGACATATCAATTTCATTAGGACAAGCGAAAAGTTATCAATACATCAGCTGAGCATTCATAAATAATAAAGTTCAACAATGAGGTTCATACACAGTGGACAAAACGTCTATTTTATTGATGAAATGTATTGGAGTCATCAGATAAACGGATCAATCTGAATCTTATAAAGGAAAGCTTTAATATGGTACGAAGTGACAGCTGCCTAAAAACATCCACTTATCTTCGGTGCATTTGCTCATTAGAAGTTCAGAAAATCATTGAAAATGAATGCATTCATCGATATTCCGTTAAAAATTTGATAATTACTCATAGCGGCTTATTTTTGCAAGCCTCGAGTTATATATGTTCAACTTCATTTCAACAGTAATATTTATTGAGTTCTTTGAGTCAATGGATGCTTTTATTTGTATTATGTCGCATCATCAATTACTGCTGGAAGCACTGGTGGTATTGCAAACGATCCTTCTTCGGTTACCGGCTGAAAATTGCTTTTATTTTTGGCCGTTGCTTTTATTTCTTTGTATTTGTATGTTCTCTTCAGCGCATTGTATTTTCCTTTTTCGTGCAATTCATTCATGAACGCTTGTCAATTCAAGCTGACTGACTGCTCACAACGTTCTCATGTATTTTTTCTCAGAATGACACATACCAGAACTTTTGACTGTTGACCTCGGAAATACGATAGTTTATAAGCTACAATAGAACATACATACTTTTTGTAATAGTGGGATCTGATGTGTGAATGGCGCTAAATGATGATGGAACGGCATGAAACTCATAAACGATCGACTCGGATTCCATGCTGTAAAGAATCATATTATGCATTGATCACGAGCATTTCCATCATCCAATTAACACAGTACAAAATCAATGTTTAAAAAATTCGTTAACACCAGTGATATGCGCAGAAATTTTCTCGAGAGGTTTTGTAAATTTTTCGAGATGATAAAAAGCTTCAGTCAGTTAAGTGCAACACCAAACTGATAAAGAAACCACTGGTTGGAATTTTGGGAAGAGGAGGGGGCGAGGTTCTTCATCCGTATGCAGACAACTCTTCGACTCAAAAAATTGCAAACAGCAATTTGTTTGAGTTTGCGAATCGATTCGATTAGCAGTTTTCAGTCTAGAATATAATATAAGAAGAGGATTTGTTTTGAAAAAGTGAAAAATCAGACATTTGCTACTGTCAGTGATAAACTTACTAATTACTGTTGTAGTTATGGCAGCTGCAGATGTACAAGGAACAGGCTCAGAAGATGGAATGTTCCGTAACCTCTTGCGGTGTTTCGCACGGCGATTCTTGAACCAGACCTAGAGGAACGACGCACCTTTCACATCTCTCTATTAAGAATCTTTACATCAAAAAATCATTGCATTTCATCTTAAAACTATGCCATCAAGAATGTGAGTACCATGCACAAAGCGATTCTCTAAACAAATGCAAAACACACTCTCAACTTCATTAAAATTTGAATATACGACCGATGAACTCTCAGTCGGCAATCTCCAAACCCCACTTGACANGAGAATCGTCTGCAAAGTTTAAACAATTTCTTTAGATATGTGCTGTTCGACACTGAACAGTGCATGCTTATCAAATCGCTCATCAGTTTGGAGAATAGAAAATTTTTTGATTATGAGATTTATTTTCTTACTGAATTTCAACGAATGAATCAGGAATCAATTGGTGCATAATTAGTGATTTATTGAGATAGACAGAAAGATTGGTAAATAAATGTCCGAACGTGATCGGTTATTTGCAGTGAGAGAGGGTAACGAAGGGCAGAAGTGTGTTTGTTGTTTGCATATCGGTTTACTGAATAATCAGCACACGCTGAGTATGCGGAATATGATTCGAGTAAATTTATGTGCAGGAATGGACCGGGCGAATATTATCATCTTACTGATGAATAACTGTAGCAGTTAAGCATCCGTTACTATTATTACGACAAGAAATGTCATCGTGAATTTATTTGAAACTATATATGAACTGTTTCGTACTCAGTTGCTGTACTACACCAATGTTCGTCAGCAACGTACGATTGCTGAGTTTAGCTAGAATGAGAGGTTTCGAAAACTTGATAGATGGAATATTCCCTCGCATAATGACAGATGTATAATAATTTGGTGATGTTCAGCAAATGGTGGTAGTGTGGCACTGAACGCAACAATCACATTTGTAAAAATGTTTGATTGCTTCAGCATACCGATAAAAAGATACCTGATCAACTCTAGTTCCTGTAGATTCGAAATAGTGAAAACGTTTGATATGTGTTAATATGAGCTTTATGATGCGGCAGCTATGTAATGTAAGTGGAACGTTTCGTGAATGATCATGTTTTCGACACCTGTCCACACCCAAATGCAGATATATGCTACACGTCAACAAATATTATTCATACGAATACCACTCAATCATTTTAGTCGTGTTACAGCACTTGTGTAAACACAGCAAAAAGCGTTAAATGAGCTCTTCACTGCATTAATAAGCGGCTTAGTACAATTTGTTAGGGGTTGTCAATCGAAAGAAGTTGCCATATTCGGCTTAAACGATTTATCTGATAATTCGGGAGCTTGTTCACACGCAGTTTATGCTCCTAACACATTTCCGTTGCTTTCACGTGCGATCAATTCTATTCCAATAGATCTTATCCATTCCACCTCTACTTTTTTTCAGAAAAATGCAATCGTTTGCGTTTTTGCATAGATCACTTCCAAAAGTAGCGAATGTGCAGAAACTTAGTGAGGTAGATCATCTGATCAGTTCAAAATACACTTTCAAACAGAAATCATTGTATTCATTTAAAAAAAACATACCTGAATTCGAGCTTCCGGCAACTGCGTCTCTTTAGCAAGCTTCTCTCTTATATTCACATCAGGATAATGACAATTTTGAAAGCATTTTTCCAGTTCTTCAAGTTGATTCTCTGTGAATGCAGTTCTATTTCGTCGAAGCTTCCTTTCTTCGCTATCCGTGGATGGTCCTTAAATGTACATTGTGTTGCATTTTAATTCAAAGATGAACTGCGGACATCCAAAATACTTCAGATGGAATCTTCAGAATATATGGAAGCTGTTCAAATTTGTGTAGTTCTGAAATAATTGAAAGAGTAAGAAGGAAAAGTATAGTCATAGCTATTATCATAACCTTGATTAATCCTCAGCGAATCAGAATACTCCTTAAGAGTGAGAAACATCTCGGATGGTTGGTGCAAACGAAATGCAGGGTATACTTCATGAGCCATCATATAGCACACTATTAATAATCCTTCACATCTACCATAATGTGCAAGTACCGCCCATGTCAAATATTATTGGAGTAGTGACAACTATCCGAACATGGTGATTGGTTGGATCTGTTTGTGGCACTCCCAACTATTCTTTTCAAGTTATGATAATTCGTGGTTTGATTTGTTGACGGTAGATATGATTGACGATATGATATCATAAACGTGGAAAGCCAATTGAACACTGATGGCTGTTATGAATTAGGTCAAAGGTAGTTGATATGATAAGTGGTATTTTCATGAAAGTAGATATGGTTGCAGTCATTGACTGGTCTTCTGATTACAAACGCAGTGAAGCTTCGATGAAATTTTCGATTTCCAGGAACGCGTTTTTTTTTTTCAGAAAAATGCTCACACTCATCAACTTCAATTCATCGAGGAAGTCCGAAGAAAAGTGAGTATGATTACAAATCATTTGAAGATAACACTCAAACAACCGGTCATTTGACGCGAAAGTTCCATTAATAAATGACAGAGTTACTTATGTATGTTTGGCAGATCAACAAGCATAACAATTTCCTTCTTTCGAACATTCAGGAAATTAAAAGTAATATGAAACATTTCTAAATAAACAAAGCATGTATGAGTTGGTCAACAATCGCATGCATACACACTAATAGTACGATCGATTCACAGCTTATCTATAAATGACTAACCCAATTTGTGAATATCGTTTAAAATGCCTTTCAATGCTTCGCTTACCACTTCCCGAACTTCAGGCGTTACCCAAATGAACTGTAAAGAATATGTGCTAGTGAATAAGCATTTGAAATACAATGACCAGATGAAAGAAGAACAACGGTATAATTTGAATTTGAAACAGTTTCGTCGAATTGTGATGTACTAATAGTTTTGTTTTTAATCTAGAATGTAAATGTGTATTGCTACTAATCTTGATGTTAATGGTAATACGGCGGTAAATATTTAAGAAGGGTGTTTGTTATAATGTTTACTGTATGGATTACAACCAATTGAATGCTCTCGCAAATTATGCTAACGATCCACTGCGAAATGCCAACAAGCGCAAGCGATGCTCGATCAGCAAACAAAACCGATTTACTGATTGATTAGTCGTCGAGCTGTCGTTGTCGACTCGACATTGCAACCGTCATCACTCAGAAATATTGTTCTTCAAACAAATACAAAAACTTCCCGTTATGCGATTACTATTCGGAACATTGATAATCAACAAAAAATATCAAAAGCAACAAACATCGACCGTGCAAGCTAAATCAATGAATCTGTCGTTTACGATGAGATGTTACAGCACCCATCAACTCCCTCATTTCAGGCGTCACTATTGTTAATAAACTATATTATTGCTCACGTAGCTATTTTAAAGTTAATCCGCATGATGGGATGGCTTTTGACCTAGAAGAACTTCTTAATTTATTCGAAAAATAACAGCACTTGTCGGGGTAGGTGAATGATGAAAATAGAACTGTAAGGAGGTGTTACAAAAATGCACAAAATTATAAGGTGTTACAAGGAGCATTATTTTATTAATCGATTCTTCATTACAAACACATGAATGTAAAACAATTGCTCGTACATAGCAATGCCAACAATGTATCTATGAAAATTTTTTGACGAAAGTCCAGCCCAGCAGTTTGCTATGACCAGTATAGTAGTGCAGGATAATTACGACCATCAATTCATTCGATTATACTCTGTCTGATTAAATGAATCGATAAATCAAAATTGTTCGAATAGGCATTAGGCAGGCTTACAGAAATAAGAACCATTTCCAAGCGTATGCATAAATGTTTGCTGTAGTCACGCATTCCTGTTCAATAACCTCTCCGATATTCATTAATAATCATTTCCGTGCATCGATTTCGGAACGTCTGTAGCATGACGATTTATTATTATTATTATTATTATTATTATTATTATCCATGTATCATGCTCGCACCATATCAACTATCTGCAGCTAACAGTAAAAAACAATTTATTTCAATAGATACTAAATACGCAAGCAAATGATAATAAAAATAGTTTCACTCAACAGCTTAGTACTAAAATTTTCTAAAAGTAATTTTTCCAAGTAACTCTCCGCTATAAATTTATACTGTTCCATTTTTAACATTGGCTTCTCAATCCTCGTGTCCAATCTACGCTTAGAAATATGACAGACGGTCATTTTGTTCAATCCAGTAATTTGCATCCCGCTAGCAATTTAAGACAACCAGTGATTCAGTGAGTCAGTAAGCTATCAACCTCATCAATTCCTCGTGATACTATGCAACTGATTTTATTTTTGGGAATTAAAATTTCTCCCAGTTTGTGAACTCCTGACCTACAAAAAAAAATTAGCAAAAAAACCGATTCCGCAATTCCAAATTTACTCAAGTAATAGGATAAAGACGATTGTATTATGAAAATCAAAAGATCAAACAAACCAGCATGAATAAATTAATTAATAATTTGAGATTGTTTGACGAGCTGGCGCTAGACGTTCAATGAAGTCATTCAGAGGTGCCAGTTGCTTCGAATCAATCAAATTGAACTCGTGTACAAATAACATAAAGTGCTTGAAACTCGTATTCAAATGCTCTATTGCCTTCAGCTGTTCTGAAAAGCATCAAAGTCATTCAGTTCGTTGCGATATATTGATGAAAGTGACGATAATGACAACAAAAACGAATTATTTATCACTCACCAATTAATTCAATATGCTGGTGATAGATATGAGCATAAACTCGAAATAATCGCTTCATAATTGACTGAGCAATGAGCATAAAATTTGACGGAAATGGTTTACCTGGAAATACCCGAGGATATTTTATTGTGAACAAAGAAATATTATTGCTACCAATAACAATACAAGCGATATAAATAGGAGGATCGTAACAGAGCAAAAAAAATGAGAGCAGTACGCCAAAACGAAATGACGAGTAAGATTCACTTCAGATATACGAAATGAAGTTCAGGAAAGGAAACTGAAATGAAGGAAGATGAATTCATGAGACGTATAATTTTCTCGGTTTTGGATTGAGAAGGTAAAAGTAGGGTATATCAAATGGAAATTGATTCAGTGGTAATATCGGCTTGGGAGTTATGTGACCAAAAATAACGAGATGAACAACCTATATGAGAAGGAAAGATGAGCTCATCATCAAGTTGGTCATGCACCCAAGTCATTAAATAATCAACGTAGACTGGCGCCGGACATGCGATTGCCTTTTTGCCATCTGACCAAAGATACTCGTATTTTGGACCGGCTGACATTTTTGGACATGATTCCGCAGTACAATGTTCACTTATTGTACCATACAACATACTGATTTGATTGAAGAAGTCGACAACTATAAAATAAATCAATAATCTCAGAGAGCAGCATGCTACTTGTAAACGAATGCACTGAAACCTGAGAGCAACACAGCAAATGATTTTACTAATTGGATGCTGCGCCTTCTTATCACATAACAGAAGAAACACATCTGCAATGAAATAAAAACCAACTATTAACAGCGATCCATTCATTCGGATCTTCACCATTCGGTAACTTAACTGCTTCACGTAAATTACCACTACCAAGTGTTGCAGATGCGTAACGAAGTAATTCGCTCTGTTTCGTATCAAGCATTTTACGACGTTGCTTAAATGTTGAATTACTGCTCATTTGGGGTCTGCAACAGAGACCCATTGCATTGCTTCAGTAGTGACAACAACGATGATGATAATAATAATAACGATAAATAACAATAAATGTAGTCTGTTGAATAGAGTGAACGTAATCGAAAACAACAAACTAGATGCCAGTCAGTCATCGAACAAGCAACACACATGCAAAGAAAGCCATAAGCATTCACACTCATTCCTATCTCTTAATCAGATCATCACATCACCGCATTACATGCATTTGTTCACAATGCTTATTCATTTCGGTTCTTCCACATCTCGTTCGATCTTCTGTAATCGCTTCTTGATTGCATAACTATGAAACCATACGAATTCTATCACTTCTAAAGAGCAAAGATTATAAACTCATATTCGAATCAAAGCACCAGAACATAAGGTGATCACTTTGGTGAATGAAACAGCTGAAATGCATAAAGTACGTAGAATTCAGTCGAATAGACTGTAATAACTTATAAACATAGTACACACATGTATAATGAATAATTAAAGATATACTAATACATATATATCACAAAACGAAAGATGATAAAACGAATTAAAATTATGTCCTACACGTTCAAAGCATCATAAACAACAACACATATATGGCAAGCAGCAGCAGCAGTCTCATGCAGTTGACACATTTAATCACATATTCATCATCAAATCACTTCCGCTGCCTCTATGTTACCCGTCATATCCGACATGCGCTCATCCAATGATTCAATATGAACAAAAGGAAAAAAAATTAGCAAAACTGTTTTACGATAAGTGAACAATAATATCTTCTGTAAAAGATATTCCAATTTTACTCACATCAAATTCAACATTGCAGCCATCTTCAACTGTAACAAATGATCATCTCTGTACTTGATACTAGCTATAAAATTATAACTTTATTTCATACCATACATCATATAAACTCAAGTTTGCAATTTTCTATTGCGATGAAAATCACCCTACTGGATGTTTTCGCACTCGCTAAAATTTTACACTGCCACAAGCAGTGTCTCATTCAATAATTTCAGCCCAAAATACAGATCACCTATCCACTGAGCATTGCGCATTCAACCAAATGAGGAAATGTTTCGCACAACACAACAATAAATATATATCTCTTATGAATGGTCATCGACCACAGCTTTGGAATAAAATGAAATGGTACACAAATGCGTAAGCATTTTATTTCCACCAAATGTAAATCACATGAACAACATAATGATAAGCTTCAATACATAATTCTGTGCACAATAATCAGGTTCAAATTTAGCCGACTTTTGCGATGCATTGATCATTCAAAACACAAAAATACCAACTTGATAATATTCGTCACGAAATGCTCTCTCATTCACTGTTTTTTTTNTTTTTTTTCTTCAAAGAAATTATCCTATACAACAGTGGTTCTTACGCTTGACAGCTCTTTACCCCATTCGATGGTCTGACGGCCGTCTAGCGACTACCCCAACCGGCTACAAGAACTTACTATTTCCATGAATGCATTCTTGAAAGACGGTTGATTACAACAACATGCCCAAATATGTAATCCGCAAATATGAAAACAAAAATTGTCAATCAAAAACCCACAAGATATCCGCCACATCTTAATACCACAAATCATATACCTATGACACAGTTGGACAGTAACATCGTTCAAAAAAATCCCATTATATGAAGTAATCCAAGAACTTACGAAAACTTTTCATTGCAACCGAATAATGAATTCAGAAATACTCGCTCTTCTCGCATCAAGCCAATGATCTTTTCTGCCACACCAAAGAACTTAATCAATCCCTACTGCTCATGAGAGATGATATCATATTAGAGAGCTTACGAAATACTTGTGAATACTTCAAGCGGACTTTTGTTTAGACCCTGACGAGTTAAAGGTACTCAGAAAGTAGGATGAAGCTGCTATGAAGGAACCGCGTTTAACTACCCTGGTGAAAAAACATTACAATCACGTTCCATAATAACACAACAATTGCGCTTAATATTAGTTTACCCATCCCCTCGAGTACCCCTGACACCCCAAAATTACTCCCAGGGGAGGCTTAGCCCTAATGAGAACCACTACTACACAGGATAAGTAAAAAAATTGAAATGATTTCCTCCAGACGAGTACGCCAAGGTGTTCACAGTTCAAACTCACAACTAGTTCATAAAAACAGAAAAGCCTCGTTCCTTTTGACAAAATTATTCAAGCTTCATAATTGACTAAGTACAAGCGTAGAATGAAATATGCAATGGTCTCTCATAAATATATTCCAGTTAAATCGAAATTTCAAAACGTGACAAAACGAATCTTGAACAGACACAAATTTGAATACAAACGTGCAAATACAACATAAGTAGGTAAACAAAATAGGTATACGATACATATTTCAGAAAAATATTTCATTTAACTCATCATACAATATGATCAAAATCGACAGTCCATTCAACTCAAGCATTTTCAAATGACATAATTAGGGAAGAATAAAGCTTACATTCACAAAAAAACGACCTGAAACAAAATATGAACTGAAGTCTAATACTCATCAAAATTCGCTAGAGAAAACAGACTGATAATGAAGGACTATGCACCTATCAATTTTTTCAAAAGTTAACAAACAAAAAAAAATGTCTGTGGATGCAAACTGAAACGAACAGATAATATAAGAGGAAGCATTGAGTATGAAGAAGGTAAAACTGAAGGTATAATCTTGGTGAACCTAATTGCGGTATTGTACATTGAATATGAGCACAAGAATGGATATGGATCGTTGTTGGCAAATATATGGTAGAAGTGGGCATTCAACAAACAACGGCCAAACAGATAAATGAAGCTAAATTCATATGGAACTAAATCCGACAGTGATGTAAGAATTCATCCAATAAACACCTTTCGACATAAAAACTGCATCAAGAAATGCCGACTTCTTATTAATCATCTGTTGTTTCCGAGACATCCTCTCAGCAACCTAATCATTACAAATACATACGCACTACGTTTCCTTCAACGATCCAAATGAACCCATTTCTGAGTGACAGAAAATTCGTGCTCAATTTGAAATTACAGATACTTTCAACCATCACTTCATGCAAGCGAAACTTTGTTAAAAAAATCACATCCGTTTAATTATTTGGCTACACTTGTTCCGATGCTTTTTCCTTAATGAATTTCAAGCAGCACTATTGTATGTACAACAGCATACTACAATGTACAAAACCATATTATCATTCCTCTCTGCTCTCTTCTTCTTGTAATTTGAATTGAGTTTTCTAAAATTTTTTACCTTCATTATTTTTCATTTTAATAAGTGTTGTTCGCAAGGAAATGTTACTCAACATATATCACGAAAACTTTACACAAGGAATACAACTTATTCACAGTATTTAATCTAGCAAGAGTAAATGAAGTAAGAGTAAATATATATAAAACGGTGATACGACGTGAAATAAGAACAGACTATATGAATTGGCAATAAAACGGAATAGAGATGAAATTATTTGAATAAAAATTGGACAACTACATATAGATGAAATTTGGATCATCTTAAGCAAAACAGCAAGAACGGCAGGCGGCATACAGAGCGTTCTTCAGGGAAACAGCCACTACGATCGTTGCTTTGTTGAATATTTAGCACAATTTTTCGAGCATCGCAATTCAGTCGCTCTGCGACTGTAGCAGTCATTCGTCAAAAACACTCGTCTTAGCAGAATCAGTAACAAGAACTGATAATCGTTTCAAATAAGTGACTCAGTTACGCAGACAGTCATAGTTCGTGTGAACTTCTCGTAACAAATTGGTACACTCCGAGAACCATCTTTTTAAAGCATCAAGTTTCATAAATATCAAAATAACATTTCCATGAACTAATTCACTCAGAGATGACGGACTTTCAAAGAAATGTTAAAATTGAACAACAGAAATGTGATCCGTACTGAATCTATAATTCTACTCATACAGGTGATGATGAGTTAATTTGTTGTATACGCTTTCATAAGAACCATGCTGATTATTATTATCATCATTAATACTCAACTGTTATTAATACTGATATTATTACTAATCATTAAAGCTGCATAAAGCACCGACTACCGCGAGAAGAATAAGAATGCCAAAGGAATAATTTACTTGATCCGACTGAGGCGGACTTGAAAAGTATTAGCCAATATATGATGAGGACAACGAAGATGAGACATGATGAAATGAAATAATTCAATTGTAATTGCAGTACTCGGAGGGATCGATGATGGACAATAGTTCATTGTTCAACTAATTAGTGCATTCGGTTGACCAATTGCAATAGATATAATTATGAAATACAAGGATAATAATAGTAATATTAGTAATAATAATTATTATATTAATAATAATAATAGTAGTAGTAATAGTAATAATAATAATAGTAATAATAATGGTAATAATAATAATAATAATAATAAGAATAATAATCACAGAAAGTAATCAGGTGTTCTACGTGAAACATGAGGTTCACCACGACGTGGTGCAGGATCGAACTGTATAAATGAGTATTTCATTTCGTCGTCTAATTCAACCATAGCTGCTTGATTACCACAGCGATAACAATAGTTTGGTGCTGAGAAAACGGTAACCACATTACGATCATGACACCAATTGTAACCCTTCAATTTTATGATAATTTTAGTATTATTCATGACAACTGAACTGCATTTATGATAACATAAGTATGACATTCATAACCATGTAAGAAATCATTAACGACATATCTTATCTTATCACTAATTTTTGCAAGCAATTTCCACCATCAATCTAAATCAACGTTATTAAGCACTCCAAAAACTAAACAACTTAAAATTTAAAAGACAAAATGATAAGTCATTCACCTCCATAACGAGCTGATGCGCCCTAGAAATGAGTGTGAGTCCATTCGAGTGATTGAACGTTTCCGAAATATCTTGGCCAAATGTGTAACCAGCTCCTCGCGGAGATATTCCCCAACCTCCACGATCGTCTGGATCAGACCACAACAAGTCACACATCGGTCCTACAATTATAACAGAAGCAATAAGCAGATCGTAATCGGTTATGCAGTGATTAACTGAATCAATTATAAAGCACAAAAAATGGCATGTTCTTAAGAAAGAATATTAGATAGCATGCCAATATGAATAACTACCTTCGTGTGGTACCTCCTGTAGTCTATCCAGTGAACGAATATGATCTAAGCTATCAATTGATGGTGATAATCCGCCATGTAAACAGAATATCTGGCCATCAACTAGAGCAGTCAATGGGAAATAATCAAATAAGTCTGTGAAGTACTTCCACACATTCGAGTTGCCATACTTGCGTAGGCATTCGTCATAGAAACCATACACCTGATAAAACATTACTTGAAAAACCACCGAATATATTGCATCTAATTAATCTGGCACCTTTCACATTTCTGTCTGATCAAGACTGCTAACGATTACTAAAAATTTACAACTGAACATTGTAATGATACAATGAAACTAAAAACTGTAGGGCTTGATAATATAAGCTAACACCATATAACGATTAATAATATTGGTAAACCATATAATATAATAATAATAAATTACCTGTGTTATCTGACGAGATTCGTGATTTCCTCGAAGAATTGTCACACGCTCTTTATACCTCACCTCAAAAATTAAAAAATCTCGATATGTTTAACAACTCTTATGATACGAACAACATTTTCGATGAACATGGTTCACTTTACTACAATGATCACTTGGAATAATAAATAAAAAGCAGTCTTATACCCTAGTGGTAATGATATTGCGACATTCAGCTTAATTGGTAGTCATTTTCAAAGTGAGATAAAGATTTCGTAAAATCATTTACGGATAAATTAAAATGTGATACGATCCTTCAAAGTTGAATACCTAAATGACGATCAATAATAGAACTGACAAAGCTACTAAGGCGTATATTCAACGGCTAAGGAGGGAAACGGGGGAGAACATCATTCAAAAAATATTATTATTACCATATTAACAGATAGATGTATAACTTACCTTCAAACAAACGAGAAGTGAAACGGTTTCAACAGAATAGTATCCTCTATCAACATAATCGCCCATAAAAAGATAATTGGTATCTGGTGATTTACCCCCCATCTTGAACAATTCCATGAGATCGTGGAACTGCCCATGAACATCGCCACATACAGTCACGGGACATTCCACTTCTTGCACATTTGACTCCTTTTGAAGAATCTCTTTTGCCTGCAATCAGTAGGCTCAAAGCATAAAAAGCAACCAAAATGAATTGTATATACTCAACATTCCAAACATGGGTAATGAGTATAACGAAAACCTTTTCACAAAGTGTCCAAACTTGATTCTCTGTAAGTTGCTTGCACTCATACAGTTGTTCAATCCACTGATCTATTTCTTTTAACATCGGTCGTTCGATAATATCACCTGAAGAACCACTTGCTGCCGTCGATGCCGTCATCCTCCTTAAAACTACCTTCCATTTTACCAGTGGTAAATAATGACGCGAACGAACTCGATCACAATGCTCGCATGATAAGTTTCGACATAAAACACTGATCTCGCACTTTTTAAAGTAACAAGAAGCACCGGCTTAATCAACCTTATCCTGGCTCCAAAAAACATCCAAGCTACTCAAATCACAACAGTAGTGATTGCCGAATACAGTCGATTCCATGTGATCATCAATTTTGCCACCACATCAAACTTAACACCTATTGCTCAACTCACAATAGAGATCAAAATGCACAGAACACGAATTTACAGAAAAGACACACTGACAACACAAACTGTAAATTTTTATCAAATTTAATTAGATGAAAAACTTCTCGAGAACAAAATCGAAAAGTCGTCGCTATAAACACAATAATATTTGCGAAAGTCTGACCATTTTTCAATCCCAGTATTGAAAAATGGTCACAAACTGAAAACAATTTAACGATGATGACGAAAAACAAAGCAATAGTGACCGCATTACGGGATTTTTTTCACTGATTTATTTTTAAAAAATCTGACGTGGCGCTAACATGTAACTTTATATTTATTCATTCATTCCCTTTGGGCAGTAAATAACACATTTAATGAATATGAATGAATCGGGATTGACTGATGCGTAATTTAAAGTGAGTATATAATCACAATCATATAAAAGGCTGTATTTTATCAGATCCATATGTCTCGGGAATTTTCAGATCATAAATCCCGAAACTAGGACGAGGACTAAGAGCATGGGATTCCTTGCAAACACTTATCAGCGATAAATCACTCCTTAACGATTTTAATTCAGTACGAACAACACTTCAAGTAGAACGTAGCTACTCAAGATAAATAATAATTTTTGGTAGTATAATTTTTTAAAATCTCATTATTAATGGCATATAGAACATACATTTAAGATGACAAAAACATTTCTCACCAGATAAAGTATTACAGCAACACACATAAAAACTCCAATTTCTGAATCCATATAAACTTCACAATTACATTTCTGGCAGCCATCCAGCAATATTCTTCACAAGATTTTTGTTTACGAAATCGCATTTTGTGATACAATGCAATATTATTCACATCAATTAATTCCTCTATATTTTGTTTCTTCTTTAGTTCGTTATCGAAACCAATTTTGATGACAGTAATGAAAATTCAGTCGAGAACAGACGGCAGCGTTCATTGCTCCTTTCTACGATCCATACGTGATTAACACCGGATATGCCTAACATGCTTGGAAAACATAAATGATTAAAGGCGTGTTTTTATTTAACCATAATGACTGTCAGAATAAGTTACAATTTAAAAAAAAAACTGATCAAACAACTGCATCCATAAATTACTTGAATTAAGGAATTAGAATGCTACAAGTGATCATAGTTTATGAAGACAGAACACTGTTCAGCGAGTGCTAACATTTACGATATGATCAACTGCAAGAGAAACTGCCATTCAGAAATGATTTTATACATCAATACTCTTCGTAATTCAATTGTTTCGGGCGTTCTTCTGAGTACCACCAGACTCCCCAACTTGGTGCAACATTTTATAAAGAGGTTTCAACCTGGAATCGACTTGAATAAAACTGAATAAATTAAGGAAATGAAATGGACGGATAGTACTCTGATAATGCACAAATAAAACGAGAATGTCTCGGCTCTCACTCAAAAAGTGATATATTAAAATGCAATGGACCTCTTGAATGATATAAATGAATAATATTAAACTGAAACGAGGAACAGGTATGACGCCACATGATAATGAATATTTAACTTAAACTCAAAAATAAATCATTATCGCAGAAGATGTACCAACGAATCTTTGAAGTACGCGTAATTCACTCAAATTTCAAAAATATATGAAGAGATAAATAATTGGAGATCAACTGACGTGCTCGTAATTTTGTTTTCACAGTTCGAGAAGAGTTGATAACGATTGACTTCAATCAGTTATCTTCATTATCAATCGAAAGCAACAAGTTATCTTAGAACAATGTTTCTCAAATATTTTTGCATTTAGAACTAATGAGCAGCCTGAAATTCGCTTGCAGACTAGAGCAGTTTGAAAGGCCTAGAGGGTTGGAATGCATGAATGAAGAAATCAGACTACAGTTAGGGGGAATTTTGGACGATAAAAATATAGCTACACTTCATCTGTTTGATCTACGACGACGCAACAATAGAAAGCAGAAAATGATGTCAATTAACCTAAATTTTTTGCTGGGAAATAGTGCAAGATGCAGAATTATGTAAGATTTTCGGAAAATAAATTTTAAGGGTGAGATTTATCGCTTTCCAAAATTGTGTGGCTCAATTGTTTCAACGTTGATTTGCATACGTTTCAGTTACTGAATGCTACTGTGTAATGATTGGATGCTATTTAGTGAAAATTTCAATAAATGATTTAATTGAGTTCTTAAAAATATGACGGTAAACTACGTTCAATGTGCTGTTAATTTTCAACACGTTATACAAGCGTGGTATTTGCAGCTGAGTTATTATCATTGCTCAGCAATTAGTGAGTAGTTATAGGATTTCAATGATTACACAAATCCTTTCTTCAACGATTCATTATCCGACCTTTATTTCAAGTGATAATGCGTTTTGGTGGAGTCATTCGACCATGAAATGCATATCCACAGAAGAGAATAAGTCGCAGAAAGTTATCAGGTGATACCGTGAAAAAAATTCCCACTTTCTTCTGTTTGCAATTATTCAGTTCTCCAATGATCCGCCAGAATCCTTAGTCCTTTCGTAAATTCTTTCAGAATGCTATCCTCCTTGTGCTATGGATATTTTAAGCTGAATGTTGCTTCGTTCCATTCAGTCCTCATTCATTTGACAAACACTTTTTCAAGATAAGAATGATTTTTAAAAAATGAAGATGCAGTTGCAGAGCTGATCATGTTATCTATTTGACTCATTAACCATTTTGGTAGTTAACATATGTGGATCCTCGATTAGTATGAAAACAAAAGGTGGAATGAATTTCTTGAATNATCTTTCACGTTGGAAAGCAATGCACCCAAAATATGTACTCTATTAAGGTTGTTATGGAGGGCGTCATTCGGTCTGTTAACTTATGCTCGAACTCGATCGCTGTTACATTCGCTAGTGTTGTGTACGTTTTAAAGTGATGTTTCACTTGTTGACATTCGCGATTTACACTTTCATTATTGCAAGAATTTGATTGGTAGCTTTACCGAAGTGTGCTGTATTTTTTTATTGTTCGTTCATTTGTTATAAGTAATGAGAGGAGAAATGGAACACTGCACAATGAAGCAAAAGCAAACCGTATGCACAACTGTGAATCATTCATTTTTTGGCTTTCATTTTTTGTTCTTTAGGAACAACGCAATTTCATTATTTACCACCGCTAGCATCAATATACATTCTTCCGGAGCAATAAATTGTCGTCCAGAGGCGGCCTCTCGGTCTATTGTTCAAAATAACCAAACAAAAACTCTCTCTCAAGCTTTAACAATGCATTTCTTATCCGATACTTTCGACTAGTGGTGTTTGACAGAGTTGCTGAAAGTTTTGTTCACTATTTTATTACTTCCATTGTTGTTTTTTCGAGGATATCAGTCTTCAGGGAAGCAATTTCAGGCGTGCGAAATTTTTTTCCATTCAGTCGTTTAGCTTATAACTTCATCAGGTTTTTCTTATAAATACGTGGATCCCCTCAGAGGAAATAACTTACAGGTCAACTTTATTGCTGTTTACCAATCAGAAATGGTGCTTGAAGCTGAATCGCGAATTCTTTCAGTGAGATTCCATAGGTATAAAGCAAAATGACATGAGAAAAGAGACATTGTGAAAACCAATTCCTCTGTGAATAATTCTCGCTTTGCGATGAATCAGTTTCAGACCATTCGTTTATACAGTCTTCATCAGCATAATGTAGGATATTCCATTGCTGCGCAACAAAGTGTACAGGAGGCGTCGACATAGCTTTCGAAATATCACACGGTGAATGCAAATGTTCTGGTGGAAATTTCCGCATGGTTACCTGGAAAAAAGCATTGTAATTCTTTCCCTCCAACATACTATTCCATAAGATGTGCAAGGATATGAGTAAATACCTTATAAAGTTACGCAACTGAGCCTCTGAACAACGAAAACCCCACCATTAAATGAAAATAAAATATTTCAAGAACTAACTACGAAGTATAAAATGTTTTATCAAAAACTTTTGTGTGTTTGCTAGCGGTAAACCCTCATTTAATAATTTTTCTATAGAAAAGAAAAAGTGCATATGGGTTTGAACATAATGTTCAAACTGCCAGTACTGTCAGGTCTAGACAAGCAAATCGTAATTCCATGCCATAAGTGGATGGAATCATACCTCGACAGATAGAAAAATTATGCGTGATATCGAATAGAAAGTACTCACTCGAGAGCCAGTACATTTCTTATGTTCAAGCCATCTGTATACTCAATGTTGAAGCAGAATGCTGCAATATTTTATGGCCTTCCAGCAAGACAACCTGAGGCATCAGAAAAGAAGCATACTAATTCGTAAGATTCCGTCATAAAAAAACTTATTGGTCTATCTAATCCTGAGCTAAAATACTGACTGGGAAGAAACAAAATCATCAACGACATTGATAAAGAAACATGGAGTTGCGAACAGTGTAAGCAGAGTTATTTGATGCCTCAGTCTGTAGGTTCAACAAAATCAGTGTATATCCGAAAAAGAAGACCGTGGCTGTTGGTCTCATTGGAGAGAGGTAAGCATGTTGGTGTTCTAGACAAGATATAACCGTATCAATGTGTTCGAATGGTTGCCGATTTGTCAAACCTCGATGAATTGATAATTCGTCTGTATTGAGTCGTCCAGATTCTGCAGATTACTGTGAATTATTGTTGTCGATACATGACCTATGACCAGTCAGATACGATGCAAGTTGCGTTATTATGTGGATCTTGTCGTCGTGATAATTCAAAAACCGATAGCACTATTAGATGATGT